GGCTGTTACACTTCAGGGCTGCGGCGCCAAGGTCGGGCCTTCTGCAGCCCGTCGCGCAGCCACCGCCGCGGCCGGAAGCCGAGTCGAGCAAAGGGCCATGAACATGGCCCGACACCTCCTCGACCCCACCACCAGTGTTCAAGCAGGTGCGGACCCGGCGACTTTGCAAACGTTTGCGCCTGGTGTGCGGGACCTGAGACCCCCCAGTCCCCTGTAAGGGGCCTGTAATGTAAGTACTGTTTAGTTGCGATATCTGGGAATCTGGGAATCTTTCCTTTGGTCTTCCTGAAGCCATTGCGGAGGTTCAGGCTCCAAAACTCGGGGCTGCGGTCATCTTTAAGACTTTTAAGGCCCCAACCCCAAGCAAGAAAGACACCATCTGAGACGCTCTCGTGATGCTCACTGAGGCGGGGAGACTCGCATCCTTCCGCCCGCAGCCGAGTTTTCAGTCGACGAACCCTGACGCGAACAATTGCATCTAGGAGTTTCTGAGGTTTGACCTCCGTGAGAATTTTGTGCAGCGGCCCCGATCAGATCGTTGCAATGTTTATGGGTGCCGAGGGCGAGCCAGGAGTGGAAACGTACTTGTAGCAGTTTATTGATTTCATGGGGTGTAGCTAGGGTACATCCTTGTTTTGATTGTGAATGGCTTTGTCAAAATAGTACGCCCTGGAATGATATCTGGCACCAGCCGCAATTTTGAGTATGGTCCCCTCTCAGCCACGATCGGTGTGATCTCAGGTGTGAGGATGCCGGGTTTGAATGCGCTCAGGCCCCCCGCGCCGTGAGATGTCCAGGTAGGTTGATCCTCTCCAGTCAAGATTGACTCCTTCCAAAGTTTTCGACGACGTGGAGACATCTAGACATGACAGTGGCACCTCACGTCCACACAGGCAGACCAACATCGTCTGTTTCCTGGGACATCCCAAGTCCATTGATATCTTTCAGCACTCTTGCTGGAAGTCTAGCCGTTTCTCTGCAGATGGCCTGCGCCAGGACTCCGATAGCGAGCTATCCGGAGGCCGGCTTGGTGTCGAATTTGAGCGGGTGGCTACGGGTAGTCCTGCAATAGGGGACTGGGATGCTTTTGGCTTGCAGGTTTCATGGGGTTTGGGGATTGAAGGAGAGTGAAGGCCTGCCGGCGACAAATGTTGGGCTCAGCTGCACCTGCATCTCGCAAGCACATCGTTTCTGTTGACACTGGCCAGAATAGCCGGACGTGAAGTGAATATTCCTAATGCAACAGCTAAACAGCCCGGAACGGCTTCTCGACGTTATTCCTGAACGTTCCTGAACTTGCCTGAACTAAACCTAGCCACCTTTGCAATTGTCGCGCAGGAGAGGACGATCTTTGTGCTAACGCAGCCGCCTCAAGGTTCAAGTTTTGGGGGCTAGGGTTGAGGGAATGCAAGAGGTCGTGTGGAGGATTGGCGTATCCCCAGTTAGGGTTCCGAGCGTACTTCGTGCGGACTCAGGTTTGCACCTGGTGCGAGCAGACGAGATACCTACCTTTCGACCTTGGGGAAGGCTTCGTCTGCGGCGTTCTCAGCTTCTGTAAGTTCCAAACAGCGACTTGGGCAGCCCAGTTTTCAACCAGCATTGTTTCCAGTACTTTAGAGTTCCGGTGCACCGAAGTGGCGATGATGTCTAGTCATACGCCTGGATTGAATCACATTGAATCGAATTTGTTGGTTGGGGGTTCTTGGGGCAGACTTTCCTGGTCCATGCAAATTGATGCAAATTGTGAGCCAAAGGCTTTCCATATTACAAAGGCGCACAAGAGGTCACGTAGTGGTGCAATTGCCTATCAGCAAGTGGGAACGCAAGTATCCCACCATGGAGCCGGTAAAGGCACCCCCAAAAGGCACCCCCCAAAGGCTCCGAAGCCTGAATCTTGCAAACCAAGGTCGCGACGTGGGTCTCGACTGCGATGCGCGGGTCGGCAACTTTCAGGCCCGAGAGAGGCAATCGGTAAGTGGGTATAGGTTATTTTGTTTACATATTTTACATACCTTTACAGGGATCCTAATAAGGGGAAGATTTGCTATTCGTTAAGGCTGCTGTACTAGCCTTTTTTCTTTTTTTTTCTTTTTTTTTTGTGTGTGTGTGTGTGTGTGTGTGTGTGTGTGTGTGTGTGTGTGTGTGTGTGTGTGTGTGTGTGTGTGTGTGTGTGTGTGTGTGTGTGTGTTTTGCGCAAAGGGGCAGCACGAGATGTTTCTCAACATCTGTGCTGACTGTGGAGCAGAGCGTGGGGCGCCAAGGCATGGGGTCAGACTCGGATACCGAGATATTCAATTGGTTGGCTTTGGCTGCTCAGGTTGTTGGTGGGTTTGCGGTTCAGAAGACGATGTTTGCACCTGCACCGGACGAACTGTTGGGTGCGTCTCGCACACTGAGGGGAGTTGCCGTTCGATCTCAACTCGAACTTCGTCTGCGGCGTGCTCAGGAGTACCATGGAGCACACCAAAAGAGCTTCTTTCGGACAGTCCGGCATTATGTGGCACGTGTTTTGCCATGTCCGCAGGGGCCAAAGACAGTTTCCTAAATCCCACAATGTGCAGTAGACTCAGTAGACCTTGTGTGGTTAGGCACACACACGCGCACACCCGCCCCAGAGATGAGCAGCTCCTTGCCTCAAGGCACGCTTCTCATAGTTTGTGAATGAGGGGGCAGCTGAGGGCTCAGGGTCCCAGACCCTCACCAAGGCGGTGACGCAGGCTTCGAGTGCCGCTCAGACATGCTCCACGAAAATGTTCCTACCTCGGCGAAGTTTCTAATCCAGAGACAGCACTGAAATTTCAGGTCGACATTTTATCATACCCGGCACTGTTGAGCCCAAGCCTCGAAGACGTGTTAAGGTGTGCGTGCAGTGTGGGCAGACAAGGCACCAAACCTGTGCCGTTTCGGGCTGCGTCTATTCGGCGTTAGGGGTTCGGGTGCTGTTTTGAGACGTTCTGTCTACGGAGCCAATTTGCCCCGACCTGCTCCAGCAGCTTGAGCGATCCCCGTGCAGGATGTGCCCCTTCGAACTCCCAGACTTCGTTTGCGCCAACTGCGGTGGAACTGCTCCGAAAAGGCCTGGGCACCTGGCGAAAAGTCATCGGGGTTGGGTTGAAGCGTGCAGGCCTGCACAGTATCAAGAAATTGATATGGGAAGTAAGGTAATCACGAAACGCATGCAGTTCGCAGCCTCACATGCTTTAATAGTATCTGTTTCTCATCAGTTCTATTAAGCCCCATATTCAAGGATGAGCTGCCCCAGCAACACGCAAAGAACCGGATGGCGTATGAATTCGCATTCCTCGGCCTGTACAACACGTTCATGAGTCATGAGCAAAACAGACGTTTTAAGATAAGCACCACCTAGCAGCAGGTGCAAGAGCTTCAACGTGAAGAGTTGGGCCGTCAAAGAACCTGTGCTGTGAGACAGGGTTGACGTTCACTGGGGTTCCCGATGCAGGTTCGAGGAGATCGAGCTGCCTGAGGCCGCTTCGGGGTTCACGGGGTTCGAGGGCTTGAAAGGCTGGGGAGCCACATAAGTCTTGGGTGGGTGCTCAGCCTCCAAGCAGGGTCGGTGCAGGGCTCACACGTGTGGGGTCTGCTGATGTGACAACGTGCTCCATGGGGAAGCAACTTTACTTGCAAGTTATCCAAGCAATTGCTCCTTTCCACACCCTCCCCATCAAGCCATTGTGCTCGTCACACCATCGAAACTAGTTCCCGTGTAATTTTAACGCTACGCGACCCGCCTCGACCCGGCCCAGCGCATCCGCGTGAGCATGGTGATTCCGCAGCGCCCAAGTCGTAAGGGTTGGGTTTAGGGTTTAGGGTTCCGGGTTATGGTTTATGGTTTTGGGGCTTAGAGTTGAGGGTCAGTTAAGGGTTGAGGGCTTAGGGCTCACGGTTTCGGGTTTGGGGTTTTTGGGTTTAGGGTTCAAGGTTCAAGGGTTCGGTGAAGGGGGCCAGGGGGGTGGGAAGGGGGCGGCCTGCTGTGCGGGGCTACAACTGCCCCTCTATTCCTGGCGAACCGTCCGCTTTCAGATTGTGGTCGCCCACGGCGGGGAACCCTTTCCAGGCAAAAAAAGGGGTCGACAATTGGCTTTGGGCCTGCCCTCACAACCTATACACCTTCGGCCCGAGGCCTCGGCGGATTATGAACCGCTTGTTCGCTTCTCCCACCCTCACTTTTCCACCTTACTAATGCTGTAGAACCTTGAACTGGGCTCTGCTTGGCGGGCGCAACACTTCGCACACTCGCTCGTTAAAAGACCCGTGCGCTCGCTTCACCATTCGATTTGCAAGGGCAGCCCACACCTGATTTCGAGGGACCTCTTAATGACTTTGTACTTGTTCTTACCGGTTTGAGGAAAGCTTTCTGGTGAAAATACAGAGAATGGGGGTTTTCCTTTCTAAAGCCAGAGGAAACAAAGGTTGTCCTATGAAGAAAAGCAGGAAACCGACGTTTTCTGATGAGAATACAGGAATGGGAGCAGATTCGCTGCTTAGTAGGCCCTTTCCCGGGAATTTGATTCCCATAAAGATAGAATCTCAAAGAGGCACCTTCCGAGGAGGAGCCGGATGACGGTCTGACCGCGGAACAGCGGGAGGTCCCATCCTTGACATGGCTTGGACCATGTTGGACCCTGTTCGGCTCAGGGTTTGCCAGCTGTCGGTTTCCTGGGTTCCTGGACCGTATGAACCCTGAACGCGACGGCTGTGGAGCTTGTCTGGAACGGGTTCAGGGCTTCTTTCTTACATAGATGTATAGGCCAGAAAAGCAATGCTGGGGGCCGCAGTGCCCCAGATGGCCCAGAAACATGTTCTGAATGTTGCCCCACGCTGCGCAACGGCTTGCGAAGCTGCTACAATCAGCCACTGACTCCATGCATTAAGAGCTGCCCAAACCCAGAGCCTACAAGAACCACAAACAAAGAACCTTCAACACAAAGTCGAGCCATGCAAGAAAACACAGTTCAACTTCCGAAAAACTTCCGTCGGCCATGCCTTCCAAAGCTCTGGCGCTGCCTGGCGATGGGAAGCCGAAGACGGAGTTCCAGAAGCACGCCCTGGGCCCAGCCTGGGGGTGAAGCCGCCTGCTTTCACGCTTGGGGGATGCCAACGGGGGTAGGTTCAGGGGCCTCATGTTCCATCACCAGGGTGTGCAAGAAGTCGGCGCTGAGTTGACAGCCATGCTTCGTAGGTGTGTGGTTCAATGTGCGAGTGCCACGTCTACCGGCTCTGCGATCTGCCCACTTGCGCTGAGCCGAAGAAAATCTGGCACGAGACAAACGTCGAAGCGCTTACAACCCGACTGGACACACCATGTCCTACTCGGGCCTGACGCTTCGGGACACTTCGATTGCCAAATGGGTTCTTCTGTTATTCCTAGCCTTTCACGAACACTTTTCACCTTCTAGCAAGCTGAGTCAGGCGAAGAAGCTTCTGGACAAGCATTGCAAAATCGACGTCAACGACGAATGGCAGCCGGTAGATGCATCTTGGGCTGGCATATTAGCGCTTGCGATCTTGAAGCGGTTGCTTGGCTAGGATCGGATGTGATTGGGTGTCACCTGGCTGAGCTTGCAATGCTTGCAGAAACATCCCTTTGTCTTGCGTTGCCTTTCTGGTTCTCCCAGTTCTGCTTGGCAGCTGGCCTTCCTCAAGTCAGCTTATGAGGCTCCCCGCATACACCGTACGCTGAGGACCAGAAAATCGCGCAGCTGCGCGGCATCCTCTCCGCGCTGCACGAGGTCGGGCCGAACCGTGGGACGTGCCCAGAGTCACAAGGATGTGAGGTCTACGGCAAGCTAGGGTTGGCTTCCGTGTAAAGTCCCTAAAGTCTGCCAGGTAATTTATGGTGGCCGGGGGGGGGGGGGGGGGGGGTTCGCACCTTTTACTTAGATCTCGCCCTTTGCAGGGCCCTGAACTTGAAGACCCTGAGCTCTGGCACGAAGCCTTGTCTAAGCGTAAGCTCAGCCGTGCGCCTGAAGCGCAAGAGGGCCTAGGCATAGGAAGCACGACGCCCTTGCCCAAGAAGACCCTTCGCTTCCAAATAAGCCCCAAGCCCCAACCCCTCAAACTGCAGGAGAACCAGTCGACCCAGCTCCTAAAGGTTGAGAGCGAGGCAGAGCCGTGACGGAGTCTTCTTCTCTGCAGGTTTCGAGGTGTTTTGCAGAGGTTTATCAGCGGGTTTTCAATGGTGGGCTTAGTTGGGGGGTGGGTTTGCGGGGGGCTGGGGCATTGGGAGTTGTGAAGAATCGATGTAGGGCCTAGCCCACGAGCAGGTTGCCCATCAGATTGAGCAAGCAGCAGCCCCTTCAAATCAAACCCTGATCCCCAAGCTGCAACCCCTCCTGGAATCCTAAAGCCCTAAAGCCCGAAATGGCTCACACAGCCTCCCCAGCAAAGCCAGGATCGCGAAGCGCAGGCCGCCCTAAAGGCCGGAGCTTTCGTTGTTTTTTTTCTATGAAGCCTGCCTTTAGCAGAGGCAGACATCGAGTCTGCAGGTTCGCCTCGCTTTCCTACAAAGCTCTCTTCTTCTCCCTTGGGGATGGTTTGGGTTGTCCAGGAGAGTCGGCTTCAGGTAGATCTTGAAGCTTTGGGTTTTCTGTGCCCCAGGGGCACCTCGAGACCTCGTCGCATAAAGTGAGGCACAGGACCACGCGTCCGGTTCTCGTGCCCGCCCACCATCCAGGCCACACGGAAGAGCGTTGAGACTCGACTCGCCTTTTGCAAGGCAGGGGTCCTCCTTTGTTCCGTCCATGGCTGGGAGTTGAGCCTGAAGGGGGTTTACAAGTTGCTTAGAGACAATGACCTCCTGGGCCCTTTGTACCTGGGCAGGAGAAAGAGATGATGTTCAAGAAAAAGCAGGATGAGTTGCGACGCCATGTGCTGGACAATCAGACGCTCGGTACGCAGAGCTGTGCCCCTCAAGCCTCTGAACGCTCCAAGCTTCTGATGACTTGAGGTTCGGATTTCAAATGTTTCAAAGCACCCAAACTCTGAATGAAAGCAGCATAGCTCATCCTGCCAACCAGGAAGTCATTGCAAGATCTCGAGTCGCAGATCGAGAAAAGCGCCAGCCCCAGCTTATGCTATTGGGTACATAGGCAAAGATCGGAATGAAGAAAGGTTCACTCCTGCAACCAGAGGTTCGCTCCCGCAACCAACTTTCCTGCAGAGACGACACGCGTTTATTTTCCTTGAGGCATCTCTTTCACTTGCTTCACAGTGGATGCCCAACGCCTGGTTCCTTTAAGCTATCGAGACAACCCCACGCCCTAGGCTACCCAACCATATCAAGATCACAGATTTCAGAGTGTTCCTATAAGTTAGAGCAGCCGAGGGTATATTTATCGGGAGTTCCACTGCGTAGCTTGACCCTAGAAAGCCCGGAACATGGGGCCGATGCCAGCTCCTGAACCCCCTAACCCTAAATCCTGAACCCCCCCCCCCCCCCCCCAACCCCCCCCCCCCCCCAAATTTGCAACCCGAAATCAGGATCTGCAAGCCGTCCCTCCGCCCAGGTGAGCGCAAGGCGCATGACGAGCAGGCCCAGAGCCGGCGCTACTCGGCTTTGGTCTTGAGCAGTGGCTTTTGGTTTTGGGGGAGGGGGGTTCTCTATTTGGGGGGATTTCTATAGTAAGGATTTGTTGTAAATTTACTGATTGGTCCTCTGTATCGGCTTTCAGGGCACTGCCGTCTGCGGTTGCTTTTTTTGTCTTGCGTGTCTTAAAGGTGTGGGGCTTTGGGGCTTTCGGACACCCGTCACCCAAGAGTACCCGAGAAAGCCCCAGAAGGTTTGGAGGGGGAGATCAGGGCCCTGGAGCGAGAGCTGCAGGAGAAGGCCCAACAAAAACTTGAAAGATCTGAGTTCCGGGTTTGGGGTTTGGGGGATTTTGGGCCTTGGGGGGTTTAGAGGCTTAGACTTTGCTTAGGATGGCTGTTCAAGATCCTGGTTGCAGGGTTCATGGAGGGCTCTGGATCCAGTGGTTGATGAACGCCTAGCCCGAGCGCCCCGTGGACAACTTGTCTTTGAATGACTTCCCTGGACCCCAACCAAACACTGGGGCGACCTTGCTGAAGCCGACGGGCCAATTGTCTTAGCCGTTGCAGAGGCTTCTCAATGAGGATCTCGCAGTGAGGGTTAGTACTTGGCGGAGAAGTGCTGGAATCCCCCCCCCCCCCCCCGCCGCGCTGCACCAGGAACAGCAGCGCGACACGGAGCAGGCGAAAATCGGGAAGATGGCACCTCGGCCAAGGGCATCCCCCCGACTCCCAAAAAGCATAGCATAGCATAGCATAGCTTCCTGAGAGCGCCTTACGATTTTGGGCAGTGAGCGGGCCCTTACCCGGCTGAAGATGTCAGGGCAACTCTTCGTATGCAAGGCTTCACTCGGGCCCCAGGCTTTGGTTTATGTGTGGGGGGGGGGGGGCAATTTGCAGCACCGTTAGGCTCAGTACAAGAACTTCCTTGAGCACGTGATCCACGAGAGCCAGGAAGAGTTTGGAGACGACATCGAGGCTGGGGCCCCTGAAGGTCGAAAAGAGTATGTGAACCACTGCGCTCATACGCTGTAAGTTTCGTAGTTTAGTATGAGGCGATGCGCTCATTGAGGCGTGTTTTCCACAATCTGGGGCCGATGTATGAAAGCGAGCAAGGTCCTGATGAATCGCCACCTCACGCTGGAAGGGGGCAGTCAGGAGCTTTTATTGGCTTAAGCGGGACGCCGCTCTGCGCATCTCTGTGTATCTCTGCGTAGCATCTCCAGTATGGTTTTGTGCCTGTTTTCTCAGCGACAAGCAAGGTTCCTGAATCTCGCTCTTAACTCTGTCCAGAGGAGCTGACCCAAGCAAATGACGACCTCTCCATGCGCCTGGATCGTGAGAGGGAAGAATGCGCCCGTGTGCAGACGAAACTGTGCCTCGGCTCCAAGCTCACCAAACCCGTAACTGGGGGCCCAAACGTCCCCACAGTCACCTCTTTGAGGACAGCCACGAAACCCCACATCTTTCTTTCCACATCTTTCCACCCTTCAACGACATGTAGTGAAGCAAAATGCCGAGCCTTTCTCAATGCAGGTGGGTGTGCTGATAGTTGGTTCATTGTTGATTGCCAGGGGAGCCAGACTCCCGAAGATGTTTCCTTCTCAGGCAGAATGAGCACCTCGCCATCAGCAGCCAGTTGCACAAATGTCAGGCACGTTGCTCCCGGCATTCAGTTGGAGCCTGCAATATCCTGCAATCTGCTTTAGTGTTGCGCTGCTCTGCTGGCTCCCTGCACACCTTCCGACATGCTTTGCAGGTGGCGCTCGAACACCATCTCGGGGAGAGCCAGGCGGGGATTGGGGGCCTCCATCAAGACCCAAAGTCCCCAACACCGACACGGGAGAGCCCTAGACCCAAAGCACCCTGACAATCTGTCCTCACCTGTATTGTACCTGCATTATTCAACCCTGAAGCCAAGCACTCGCAGGAGTTGGAGGGGCGGCTGAACCGCGCTCTGGAGGAGAAGGAGCTGAAGGAGAGCCAGGCTGCGCTCAATTGGTGCGACTCTGTTGGATCACGTTTGGGCTTGGGGGGCGGCCTTTTGCAAATTTTGGGGATGAAAAGCAGGCCCCAAGCCCTCAGCAACCCCAGCCCCGAAAGCGCAGGTGGGGGTCATCTCCATGGCTATCGAGCAGCTCTTCTCCCGCACGGTGAACTCGTGCAGGCTTCCTCAGCGGAAGAAGGCCCAGAGTGCTTGAAAAGGGTTGCCCGATGGCTTAAGTCTTCCGGGCTTTGAGAGCCTTGCTGGAATGCGGCCCATGATATCAGCATCACTTCAGCATCCTTTTCCCTCCAAATCCCCATCACCTCCCAAGGCCCAAAGACCATCAAAGACCCCAGAGTGCCCCTTGCGCTTCAGGCGATGCTTGTCTGTGCCTCAGATTCCCACACGCGATTTCCCACGCGAGTCGAGAGGGCTCACAGCGGCTGAGGATGCAACAGACGTGAAATTTGCCCCTGTCCGGGGTGACAAGAGCGATGTGCGGTTGGAAGAGATGTTCAAGCAGATCATCGAGCGAGTGGAAGATCTGCAGGAGAGCCTTACAGTGCTTTTTCGGATCCCTGACGCCTTCAGCGGTTGAGGGCTTACGGTTTAGGACCCCGGGACGGTGAATTGTCGTGGGGTGCAGTGGCGTGTATCAGCGTACAGGAGATGCACAGCACCGTCCAGCTGGGTCGGGAGAAGCCGAGGGAGGCGCAGTTTGTTGCCAGTCATCTCGCGAACAGAGTTTGGGATGGGCGTTCGGTTGCTGCTTTAGCATCTCCGTTGCAGGAAGCGGCTCTCTTCGATGAGAGGGGGTTCATGGAGCGTGTGACGTTCCAGTACCATCGAGGCGCAGAAACTGGAGAGCCAGACTTTCGTGGGAGTTTTGGGGGGAACGCTCCTGCAAGTTGTTTCAGCCGGCGCTACGTGGGCCCTGTTGCTAAGGACGTCAGATAGTGCAACTGTTAATGCTGTTAATGGATGTCGGCTGTATATTGTATATAGCGTCTATACGGTCGGGGGGCGTCCATTGGAGAAACAATCCAAGGCCTTGACCCTCGGAACCTCGGAATTTCGGAACCCCTAGTCGGGCCCTTGCACCTGCAGACGGCAGGTGAAGATGACGTCAGACGAAGGCCCCAGGGGCCAAGTTGTGTGCATCCATGGGTCCATGGGTTCAGGCAGCGGTCTGAAAGGTTCAAGCAGGTTTCTTATTGAAACCCGAATATACCCCACTGAAACCCAATCCCTCAATTCTAAAATCCCAAGCCCAAAGCCCCCTCCTTGCCCCGAGCCCTACGCCCGAAACAGGGGCACCGGCAGCGACGAGAACCACGAGTCGCTCACGCTGGGCCTTGGGGCAGGTAGCAGCACCCTCAAGGGGAGGCTGGGGGCCCCAGATTTGTTGAGGTGGTTTGTTGGAATCTTGTTGAGGGTAGCCCGGATAGGCAGCCGACCCCAAATGCTGTGAAGGGAAGGGCAAGGCTATGTTGGCCCCTCCCGCAACCAAAAGGCTCATCGGCGAAGCAGCCTGCTGGCTCTGAGGCATACCGACCCCAACCTTAGTGGGGGCCACAGTGGCGGGAAGCTCAGCGCCCGCTGTGCAACGCCTTCCCGCGACTCGAGGGTTCGGAGGGGATTAAGGAAGCTTCGGTGGGTCTCAGTTCTGTGAGTTCCATTGCTGCCTTCGAGGCTCCAACAAGTCGTGATGCAAGGCCGCTGGCTGCAGCTTGCCTGTGTTTGAGTACCCTTGCTCTAAGTTGGGCTGAGTTCTGTAGGCTAGAAGGTACCTGGAATCATGTCTCCGTTCTTCATCCACTGAGCAGTGGCTTCTTGCCAGCCCCTGGCCTGGAGGCAACTTCCAGCTGTCAAAGAAGGATGGCGAAGTGTTTCACCGCGGGATCCGACTCAGAAAGCATGTTCTCAATCATTTTCCTCAGCCCAGCAAGCTTGGAGCTCCCGCTCACCCAAACCAGCGATGCTAACGACAGGAGTCGAAGGAAGCTGTTGGAGTGTGCTATTGCTATTCATAGGACTCGTAGGATGTCAACAGCACTTGGCATCAGCACTTGGACCGTTCTCGTCTTCCTTCGATCCTGCCCACGCAAGCCCAGTGCTGTCGACCAGTCGCACGGCTTATGCGCCAATCAGTAAGGGCCCTCGTCCTCAAAAGCATAGCAAGCGACCCCGATCATGTTCGCAGGCGCAGCGCAGGTGCGCATTCCCGTTGCGTAGGCATGCGAAGACAGTACTGCAAGCGATGGCGAATTCGAAAAAGGCGCGGCGCAGCCAGTTATATTCTCGGGACCGTCAACATGGGGCTTCCTTTCAATACGGGACTGGTGCTTGTTTGCGTAAGCGCGTCCCGTCCGAGGCCTATCGCAAGGAGAATGAGCGAACTCAGCTGCTGTGGAAGACTCTGATTCAGGCCTGCATGCGAGTGGGGTTAATCCCAAACATGAAATCAGGAACCCCTAGCGAAACAGCCCAAATCCTTCAAGTGTTGAGGGTCCAGGGACGCATGGACCCTAAATCCTCGGAAGAGACTCGGCAGATAAGGATCGTTCTACTACGGTAGCTGCAGCCCCAAGCTAGGCTTCTGGATAGTGCGCCGGGGATGTTTGGATTCGGCTTTCGTGGCATCGCAAACTCAGCTACGATGCTGTTCAAGATGGGCAAACTACGCCCGCAACGTATGCTTCCTGGCACAGGGGCTTTCCCCGACGCAAGCCGCCGAGATGTTCAGAAAACAGGCTCGGTGGGGGCAGGTGCCCAAGATGTCAAGTTGCTGCTCTGGAGTTCGGCTGCCCCATGGTCATGATTGCGCAAGGGCAAATTGAGTAATATAGAGTATAATTTAAAGTCCCAAAGAATCCTCGTTTCCGCCAGGACCACGAGCCTCCAACTGAGCAAGAGTTGATGGACTTGCCGCAGGCTTAGGGCGCCGTGTTTGGAGCAGCCGGCAAACATCTTTCTCAGGTTGCTCCCTCATCGTGAGATAGTTTTCGATGAAGTAGGCCCTGCTTTGTCTGACCTTGGTCAGCAGGGCTCGGGTCCAACCAGTACATGTGTTGGGAGCCGAAGCACCGTTGCCGAGGCGAACAAACACGCTGGCTCACGTTCGCAAGAAGTCTGGGACCAAGAGTTCTCTGTGCGGCAGTTGAGTCCCCCTTGATCCGCTTCCATGGCTTACGGCCAGCAATGAAAAGTGTTTGACCATGTTTGACCCGACGGCCAGGACGATGGGTCACCGGCAGATGATGAAGTCTGCACTCAAAAACAAGAACAAGGCCTCGTCTGCATTGGAGCCTTGTGAGTTGCCCGTATGCGTCGTGGAGTTGTGGCTTGCACCTCAGTCGGCCACGAAGCGGTTCTTGAACAACGAGCCACGGCTGCAACACAGAGGGCTCGGCACCTTAAAGCACACCAAACCTTGCAGTCAGGGTTTCCTATGATTGCATCTTCACCGCACTAAGGAGTTGGTCAGCGTGACCAAGAAAGACAAGTATGCCCGCTTCCTGGGCTCAGGGTTATTCAGGTCTCACGGTTTAGGGTCTACGGCTTCAGGGGTTGCGCGTCTTCGGGCGTCTTGGGTTTTGTAGGGTTGAGGGTGCGCCGCAAACGCAGTGAGCTGAAGCATACTTCTGAAGTTTAGGTCGTCTGATTAGACTGTTGACTTTTCTTGCATGAACGTGGAATCAACCCTCAGCCCTAAACCCGTTGAACCCCAACTCCAAACCCCAAAACATCCCGACAGAGCAATGCCCGCCCAGTACCGCACCGGCGGTGAGACGGCGGAGGACAAGGCAAAAACTTCCGTGGAGCCTGGTGCCCAGTTGTTGCCAAAGAGTTTCGGGTGTAGGCTTGTCGGTTTTTGCCTCAACAATTTCGGGCTCTTTCCTCCTTGCCTTGGCTCCACCTTCGGGTGAAGGGGGACTCGTCTCCTTGCGTGCAGCCCCGAGGCAGGTTGCAGGGCTCAACCTGTGCACGACGTTCGGATGAGATTTTTCAACCTGAAGACCTGAAGCCTAAACCCAGTCCATCCCACCCCCCCACCCAACCACCAGGAAGAGCAAAGCAGCTGTGTCTCGAGGTTATACATCATCGGCATCGGCCGTGGAGGTTGGGTGCGGAGAGAGACCTGAAGCATTCAGCACACAGCGAAAAACCCACAAAACCTGGCCTTGTGCAGTAGAACTTAAAGCTGTGGAAAACAGGTCGGCACGCAGTCAAGCTCGCCATGCACGACAAGAAGAAGGGGAGATGCACTCAGGGAGAGATCGGGTGCACTAATAAAGCTTGGCTGCGACTCCCGTTCCCAAAGGCCTGTCAGCAACAAGCACAACAAGTAGTGACCCGGGCTGTGCCGAAGGTGCCATTGACGTGCTAGGAAACTGGTGCAACATGCATATAATATCACAAGCGACGGAGGCAGTTACTGTAAGTTCACAAATGCAGCTTTGGTACTTGTTCGACGCTGGAGCGCTCGATGAAAAGGATGCGACATGTTGTAGACATGTTGTAGACGAAGCATGCTCACTTTGCATTTGGAGGAGTTTCGAACCCTTCAACCCATGCTTAAGCCCCAAACCAATAGCGTTCAGAAACCGCTGCAGGGTGAAACGTTTGCAGATTTCAGGCGTGCCTAAGAGACGCTTAGAGTTGAAGGTGTCGGAAGCGCTGCAGGACCTGCCGATTCTTGGTTCAAGCTTTGCAGAGCAGGCCTTTCCCCGTCGCAATCGCCATGGACCGGCCATGACGAGGTCGGATTGGGCGAGAGTGTAAGCTTTTTTGAGGGTGCAGGCGTCATCTTGGACCCTAACCCCTTTGCCAAATCGGGGGGCGGGGGGGGGGGGGGGGGGGGGAGAGGGTTCTTCGCCAAGTTTCATGTTTCATCAGGCTGTCCTCGATCTTGGGGCTCCTGCCTGGAGCCAAGCAATGCAATAGTCCGACATCCTGACCCCTGAACTTACCCAAAAGCCCTACACCTTCATCGCCCCAAAAACCCTTTAAATCGACCCTGAATCCTTAAACACGACAGGGCTCTGAAAGCCCAAAACCTTCAACCCCAAACCGTTGCACCCTCTAGAGACGGTGCTCAAGCCACAACATCAAAACCACGCCGGTTTCTGCTTCCCGGACACATTTTCCCACCCTCCGAGGCCCCTGGCAGCCGCCTCCGGGCCCAGCAGCTGGGCGAAGACAAGGCGCAGCCCGTGGCTCCTGCAGCCGGTGTTTCGTTTAAGGGTTTTTAAAGGGCTTGGGCGTTTTGAAGGTTTAGGGTTTAGGGTTTAGGGGGTTTAGGGTTTAGGGTTTAGGGCTTGGGCTTGATGGGTTAAGGCCTCATGGGTTAAGGGCTGATGGGGGTTCAGGGTTTAGGGGCATTGCGGGGTTCAGGGGGCTTAGGGCTCTTGTCAAAGAACTACTTGGTCGGTCCGTACAGCTTTTGGCCAATTCAGGTTTTGGGGAGGTCACGGTTGTAAAGTTCTGCGTAGCTGGGTCTTGGATGGAGCTCTAGAGGCACTAGGGCTTCAAGATGTTTAAGGGTGTTTCTGGATTGAGCCTTAGGGCTTCGGGGCTTTCGGCTTGGAATGCCAAACGCTACGCACTCCTGTCTTGTTCAGTTTTTGAGGCGTCTGTTTATTGAGGGCTTTGTGTCATTGTGGCCCTAGATTCTTAGGCTGGTAGACCCGAGTACAAATCAAGGAATCAAGGCCCAAAGCCCGGACAGCCGACAGGTCCCCGGATCCGGGCTTCGTAGCCAGTCTGATCTCGCAGCTGGGCGAAAGCGGCCTGGGGAGGGACATGGATCATTGTGCAGCGGTTCTGTTGGGGAATTGCTGGCTGTGCAGCCTGTTGTGATTGACCTTTGAGTAACTTGCATCTTTGGTCAACCCGAGCAGTCAGGTATCATCAAGAGAAGCTGGAGAATGCAGTAGCCCGGCTTTCAAGCGGCCTGTCTGGCACGCTTACGAAGGATGGGGGCAGGGCCCCTCCACCCAAGCTCTTTGCTCGGAGGAAAAAAGTGGGTTGAGTCCGGGTTGAGGGGTTTGTGTAGGACCAAAACGGGGGTATCAGGTTCAACCCCCCAGAGTTGGAAGCCTGTCCCTCGTGTAGGTCGGCCGTTTGCTGACTGGGTCTTTGAGATGGATACGTCCCTGCTGCCCTCGCCGGTGCCGAGAAGTTGGCTCGAGAACTCCACCAAGGACGCCTTTCCCGCCCGCAGAGGGCACCCCCGGCCACCCAAATCCTGAAGCCTCTGAGGGTGGGCTCTACAGGACAAGGCTTCAGCAGAGTCATCTTTGAAAGAGGCGCCTGGGATGCTAAGTGTTGCATACTGAGCAAAGATGAAGCTCGAATGTTTGAAAGCTCCTGTGTGCCACTGACTCCTTGTGTAGGTTCAGTTCCATCATGCTTGAAGTGAGCTTGTGCCAAGGCACTGTCGACCTTGGCTGCCTGGAGTGAAGCCAGCGATTTTTGTGCTTTCTTCATAGGGACGGGGAAGCAGACCCCAATGCTCCCCCTGACTACTTATGTCTTCGCTCAACGGGAATAGGGCATCTGGAGCAAACGGGCAAAGCCTCCTTGCTGTTGATTTCAGTTCGAGTACATACTGTGAAAACATTGCCTATCGAGCCTATTTGGCCTGTGGCAGCCAAGCGTTGATGGGAACGATTCTTTTCTATCATGGAATCCCACCTCAATCAAGGTAGCTACCCTCAACCCTCTACTCGCGGACCCTCAAGGCCCTCAACGCCCAAGCGCATAGAAGACTTGCTCACACACCCCACGACACCGTCCAAAGCACCCAACTCCCTCTCCAAACCCTTCAAAACCCCTGCGAGGCCCGCAAAACCCTCTTCAAAACCGCCAAACCCTAAACCTTAAACCCCCCAAGCCGTAGAAAAGAAGCCTTTGTTTTTTGGCCCCAGCAGCCGAGGTTCGGGGCCTCGCCCGGCTCTCGTCAGGCCCGGCCTTGGCGGACGCAGTTTTCGGCGCCGAGGCGGCGAAGCTCTTGGAGCCGCCACCTGGCTCTCCGGTTTGTGACTTGTGGGGAGGCTTTGAGGCTTTCGTGTGCTGGGTCTCTGGAAGAATGTCTCGCAACCCCGAGGGTGGCCCCGGACGACGTCCAGCCACGCCTGTCACCGCAGCAAATTGAATCGCTGGGCCCGAAGCAAATCTCGGCGCCTGAGATTCTCAGAGGTTGAGGTATGTTATGAGGGGTCTGTAGGGTTCTCAGGCGGACGGAGGGAGGGCAATCTCATGTCAGGCACGGGGGCTACATGGTAAGCAGTGACTTCTCCGAAAGGAGCAGTTGGACAAATTACGTACATGTCCCCAGACTACCTCCATTTGAGCTTGTGTAGTCCACTCTAGAAATTTGCTGGCAAGGCTTGTTTAACTGTACTTAGTTGCCTAGTTCGGGTTGTGCATGATGGGCCTTCTGCTTTTCTGGGGGATTTTGAGTGGTTCGGCTTCGCAGCCCCAGGTGCTGATGGCCCACGAGAATGCATCTGGGCTGCATCCCGTCGGCTGTGGTCAAGCAACACAAAGTTGGACTTCGAGGTTGAGCCTGGGACCTTTGAAGTGTGCTGCAGGAGATGCTCGCAGCAGGAGTTGGCCGGCTCTCCAGTGGCAGTTCGATCGCAAGTTGGGCCTGGGGTTCGATGGATTGGTCGAATTCCAGGGTTTAGGGAGTTTAGGGGCTGCCGGTGTTTGACCTCGCAGCCAGCAAGAGGGTGATGCGGTGCCAAAACCCATGGCTTCTCCAGGCAAATCTTTTGCTGACTACATCTTCGGCATGGACACCGGCAGCCTGACTCACGAAAGGGCTTTTGTCAAGGTCACCACTGTGCATGGAAGAAAGTCGTTTTTTTGGAGCTCCCCTTCCCCTCCATCCGAAAGCATTTGAATGTAGAGTGACTCCACGATGAGGTGAGCTGCCAAGGGAGCTTCCAAGCGAGATGTATCTGTCAAACATCGCGCAGGACCGAGACGATGGTCCAGCAAGAGTTTCCTAATATGTGCAATACTTTCTGCACAGACGCAGCCGAACCTGCGTACAGGTTTATTCTCTTACTACTCAGTATGCTCTGCAAGCATGTGGTTCCCGACATCCTTATGGTTTGCATATCTAAACTCTGCATGCGTGCATGCATGAACGCCACGGTTATTGTCATCGGTAGCCAGTAAATATGGCAACAATGGTACATCTCATCTCAATAGCAGTTCATGTTCATGATCAATTGATCAGCGCAACCTGCATTCCTTTGTGCAAACGAAGAGTAGTGTCCTTCGCACCAGGATCGAAGTTTGGCACAGTTTGCAGTGAACGCCACAATGTCGATGATCGGCCGTGCAGCGTCGGGACCTGTGGCCCCAAAGTCTCTGCACAAAGCCTGCGCGCCTTAAGACCTCAAGCCTACACGTGGCTCTGGTTGCAGGAGGAGAGCCTCGCGGTAATGTTTGCTTTCTGTTGACGCTTCGTCGAAGGTCCCAGCTTTCTTCGGGCAAGCCGCTTGCCGACGCAGTCTTCGGCTGCGATGTCAGTCATCTCTCGATCCCCAACAAAGTGGTGATGACCAGGACTTGACAAAGCCTCGGGCGACAACAAAAACTGCTTGCCGCGTTGTTTAGGGAAGAGCACAAACCAGGCCTTGTGGCGTGGAGCATCGCAGCATTGTTTGCCCTCGCAGTCCCAGTGCCCAAGCCGGCATGAGCATGATGGGGCTGCTCACTCTCTAAGGATCCATCATCCTTTGGGTTTAGTGCTGTGAGTTTCTCAGGGCTGTGTGCCTTAACTTGGCCATCTGCTTCGAGCCATGTCGGGGGTAGACATGAACCTCCCAAAGTTGGGAGAGATGCCCCTCGGCAGCGATTAAAGTACAACCCGACACAGACACTTTGGCCGAGCATCGCCTTGTAGCATGATCGTGCTCAGTATTCGTGGTTATGTGACCTCTGGTCGTAGCTCACGCGATTCAGTCTCAAGCTCTCATTCTATCAGGCGACCAGGCAAGTAGTTTGCGCCGAGTCAGCGAAGCTGCCGGCTAACATATTGAAGCGTTCCCGAAGAAAGGCCAGTGTTAGAGGTTGCGGCTACACTCCTGTGCTGAAAAGTCGCCATGTGGGCCATGTGCTCTGCATCCCTGTGCTCCGCGCGAGGTTCTCCGCTGCGATGCCGCTGTCCCGGCGGCCAGAGGTGCTGTTGCGGATTGTTGCGGCGCTTTGACATCTGTGCAGTCTAGGGTTTTGGTTAGGCTTCGCCTGGCTTCGCTAAGTTTGCCATGGTGTGCCCTCATTCCGGCAGAGCAGCTGCTGCAAATCTTTGGTGCCCCAGATTCCGCCAAGCCTGGCCTTCGCAATGCCAGCCAGCAGCGCCTCCGCCTCAGAGAGCTTCCTCCGGCCCTTGAGGTGCCCTTGAGGTGCCGATGTAGAATGGCTCTCTCGCTGGCACCGCAAGCCAGGGCAGCGCAAGTCCCCGATAGAAAAAAGCGATGCCTTCAAAATTGAATTCATGCGGCCGGATGCTGGACTCTCTCTGTGTCTCTGTATCTGTGTGTGTGTGTGTGTGTGTTTTTTTTTCTGCTGTGGGGGCTGTGCCAGTGTCTCGTTCAGATGGTGATGGCTCATGCTGAGGCCAAGCTGACCGAAGCAGAGGGTCCGCACTCGGCCAGTTTGTACGCGGGCTGGTCTACATCATATGGGCACTCCTGGGCAGAACAGAGACAATCACATCAGTGGCAACTGAACACCAACCCTCAAAAATCGGCTAAATCCTTAAATTCCAAAGGCACCGAGAGCATGAACCAAAGAGCCCCAGAGCTGACCCCGGCCAACCCTGAAACCCCCAAGCCCCCGACGAAAAGCCAGGTCTCCTGATGAAGGGTGCCATCGATCAGGCCATCCCCGCTGCTGAAGCGGCGCGAAGCGAGCTCCAGGGCAAAGGCGGCCACTGCACCTTTGACTAAAGCCCCTTGGGATATTGTTATTTCTGCTTCTGTAAGAGGCACTAAGAAGATCTTATTCAATACTACTTTCAAAGCAAACGCCCAGTGGAATTGAATTGAGTAGTTGTAGGGGTTTGGGTTTGAAAAGCAATTGGAACTTCGAGGGGTCTATGGGGTCTAGGAGGCCCGTGTTCTCTGCAGGTGATGAATCAGCATACGCCGTCCGAGCTCATCTTCTGGCCCAGATGCAGAAGGCAAAGGCTTTGGAGTTCCCTCTCCATTCAAAAACAAAGTCATCCCCAGGTTGCCTTTGCATCCTCTTGCATCCTGAACTCCAGACACCGTGTTGGCTTCACCGTCAGGTCCTTTCGCTCGTGGATGATGATGGACCCGCCATGACACCTGAACCCATTGTGGCCGAGGCCGAAAAGGACTGCAACCAGGGTCATCTTGACATGTTCTATAGCTGCCACTTTTTCTTGCGTCGACGTGATATCTGAAGCCGCGTGGTGCGCTCGCCACGAGATGTGAGGCCCCCATGTAAATTGCTGGGCGTGTGCGTCTTTCCGAGCCCAAAACATGCAGATGTGACAGATCTGGCTATCTCTTACTGGTGAAGGAGTTGGAGAAAGCCAAGTCATCGGGCAGCGCTGCAACCAAGGCCTCCCGGGCGACTGATGTTGCTCTAGCATAGGATTGGATCCTTTGCGACAAATTACGCATGGAGGTTCATGCAGTTTCTGTTGCTGCCACACTGTCAGCGAAGCTCATTCAAAGGGATCACTGTGGCGACTGCCATGTTCAGCAGCTGTTTTGTGTTTTGTCCGCAAATGAGCCCAAATCCCAAAATGTGTAAGACCCTAGCCAGGCCTAAACCACCACAAAGAACGCAGCCAACATCATCCCGAAACCTGCTCCGAGCTACGTCCAGGCCATCCTACAGCTCACATACAGCGAAGTGCTGGGTTTCGGCACAGCAAGAACAGGCTGCAAGGGATTCGGGCTTGATAGGGTGTTGAGGAGTATTCGGTTTTCATAACCCTGTTCTGATATGTCTTTCTGTGCTCCCATCCCTAAAGTCCAAACCCTAAGCCCGAAGTGGTGCTTTGTTCCAGGCTGGTCACCCGACCGACCCATGCGAGACAAGGCTCTAGATTCGGCGAACCAGGTGGCTGCACTGCTGCATGGGAGGGATCACCGGGCAGCTCCTGAGAGCTGCGACGCTCTTGAGCTTCTGCTTTAGAGGTTCCGAGAAGCCGCATCCGAGGGTTCGTCTGCCTGCCGGTGCAGGCCGTCGATCTCTTCAGAGATGCAGGCGACACGAAGATGTCAGCGTGGGAAGCCCTGCTTGTGAAAAGCAAGAGAAGCCCCCGCCAGGAAGTTCGTAGAACCCGCCACCCCGCCCTTTGGTGGGACCGCCTCCCCTTGCAGTGTGTTATATATGAAAAGGTTGATTGCGAAGTCTCAGCCGACGCAGACACATTACTCACTGTGGTCTACATTGAATGAATACTTTCAAAATTTTCTTGAAATCGTTAAGTGTAAATATGCATATCTTTATATGATTTATCTACACGCACATGCTGATCAGGCTTTTGATAGGTCGCCTTCTATCATGCATCGCGTGTCTTCTCAATAACCTCCCTCGCTACTGATGAGCCTTCACGCACCCAACTCCTCTCGCCCAACGCTGAGAACACGGCACCTCCAACTAGCCTCCACCCCCCCAGACATTGCCTCAACAGCACTTGGCCGCCACATAGGAGACCTAAACCCCAATCCTCCAAGCTGTCGCTTAGTGTGGCCCAGCAACCGACCAACTCAGGGTGGCAAAGCTGGAAGTCGCCGCGTTGCTGTGTCAAGGCCGGCGTCTTGAGCGTGTCTTGGTGTGTGCGAAGTTACCGTCCTGTGCTGTTCACATTGGCAGCCATATTGCTGTTGACAAGGCAATGCTGCAAAGGCGGCCGCGCAGGCAAGACGTCGCCATGATCGTAGGTTGCCTTCACCTCTGACTCCAGGTCCCTCCCCAAATCCTCTCAAGGAAGGATAAAAGATCCCGCGCCTGTGCGTCGATTGCATGACTAGCACTTGTGGTCAGACCGCGCAAGAAAGCTTCGACATCTTTGAGCGGCCGCGAACCCAAGGAGCTCACAGGAGAATCTCAGGGTTTCGAACCCGGATTCGTGTGTTGGACGATGACGAGGGTGATGTTCGGATTTTCTTGTGCATGTTGTGTTCCAAGTACGACCCGTGAAGACCTCGGAGGCTCACCGAGGGGTGCGCAAGATTTTGCTGGTATGCGCAGACTTCGATTTCGAGGGGTTTGATCATACTTTCACTATGCCGAGTATATTCCAATGCCCTTTACGACTCGCTCAACGCTACAGGCTCGGCGACAAGCAGGGCATGGGACATGCGCTGGCGCCCCAGGCATGCTGTGGGTGTTTTCAGGCATATGTCAAACCCTAAAGCTTGTATGGCCACAACTTCTGAAACCTTCCCAGAGAGAATCTAAGGTCCTGGATGATGGCGCGATCGAAGCTGGTTGCAAAGGCGCCATGTGAGTACTCAAGAATCCCAGACGAGCTGCAATGACTTGACTAGGAGTATGCCTCAATCCGAAAGAGGCACATTGGGGATATTTGACGAATGCCGGAGTTAGCATTGACTTCAAGACCTGGACAGGATTTCGAAGGAGCCCTCAGAAAAGGGCATGAGGCGCGCCGGCAGTGTTTTGGTCAAAGAGTCTGGGTTGTGGGTCACCCGGCTTCGTTTGGGGTTTTCGAGACGTCAAGTAGGTGAGAGTGATGAGGAACTCGTGAGCTGGTTGGTCCTTGATAGTCAGTTCTGGAAGGCCTTCCCCACACTACACGATCGTCCGAACCCCTACAGTCAAAACCCAAAACTCCAAGCTTACCTAGAATGAAAGGATGCGATTGCTGCAACAGGCCCTGGATCTCGTCCGAGCAAGCGACGACAAGAGGCGGGGATGTTTAAGCTGAAGCCAGTGCTGCTGAAGAGACAGATAAAGGATCCGAATCTTCGTAGCAATCCCCTTCATACCTTGTAACCCCCCTTAAGAGCCAGAAAAGGTTGGGGCGTGGGGGAGCTGTTGGGGACTTAGGTGTAGATTGCCTCATTATCAAAAAGGCCCTCACAAAAGCGATCTCCAGGGCGGAGGCTTTGTTCCTGGAGTGCCTCGTGCAGTGGAGCCTCACTGAGGCACGTGCTGAGAGAGATCTTGGAAGCTTCAGGGTTTGACATGTTAAGGGTTCAGGGTTGATCTCATCTTGATGTTTGCTATCAATGGTCAGTAAACATCACCCGATTCTCCAGACGAATCCTTCCTACCATTAGGTGAAAGCATGTTTTAGTAGACTTGCCTGGGGGTTCTAGGAGTCTGGGTTTGTGTCCCACAAGCGAGGCACTGGCACGATCATCGATTCACACAGCACACCTTGGCCAGGGTTTCTGGTTTGCTGTTGGATTTCATTGGTTCATCGTTCCTGGGACGAAACGGCCAAGGGCATGGGGGCTGCTAACCCTAAGATGGGGGCTTCGTTCTCGAAGTCGCCGAAGCCAGCGGGCGCCTGATAGGGTGTGTGCAGCGCGGGTGGCAAAAACAAATCCTAAACCCAAGCTCCTTCAGAACGCAGAGAAAGCCCTTCAGTGCTTAAATGAGGCATTTGAGCGCTGGAGCTTTCGTAAGCCAAAAAAACCCCAGCGCCCTGGAGCTCCCTACGCCCTCCTCTGTCAGGGCAAGCCACACAAGGCGCTGGTCATGGCCAAGGAGGTGCCCGTGCTGGGCAAAGCTTGGGAGTCTAGGGATTAGTGTTTGCTGCTGTTGCTTTAGGTTTTTAACTTTGGATGGTGTAGTTTCATGGTGTTTCAGTTGCTTGGGCCAGGTCTAGTTGATTGTGTACATGCGGCCATGCTTCTAAGGAACCCTGGACGTAACATCCATCAACCGTAAACCCTAGATAGGCTCGCCCAAATCCATGGCAAACTCTCCAAATGACCCAACATATGGCCGAACCCTCCTACATTCTGAAGCCCGAGACTGCGATAATTTCAATTTCCGCGTCCCTTGAGGCCTATGCGCTTCGACTGGAGCTGGAAGCACCTCCCAAGGAGGAGGCGCTGCGGTTTCCGCTTGATACGGGGCTTCAGTGATTCGCATGTGCGAACTTAAAGCCCATGTGTATTGAACGGCTTTCAAAATCTGATCCTGTTAATCGGCGACCAGCACCCGAGCAATAGCAAGGCTCTGTCTCTTTCGGCAGGTTTCAGGCTCGCTCAGCGGAGATCCATATTGAGCACTCACGAAAATCTGTGAAGACGACCCAATGCTTCATGACTTTTAATGCTTGTTTGTGCCCTACTGTACCCAAAGCTTTTCCAAAGTCCCCTAGGACCCTGTTCAAATATCCAAGAACATCCCCAAGCCATCTCAAACCTTCCTCAGAGCCCCGATCTTTGCAGGCTCGGTCGTGCTTGCTTCTCGTGGAGGCGCTCGCAGGCGTTGGAAGCCGAGAGGGCTCCGACATGAGGGTGCTTGAAGTTGATAATTGTAGGGCCATTCTAGGGATGAAATTAGGTCTGTTTATGCGCGGTTAAGTATGTTTTCTAGTCTACTAGTAATACGAACTAAATCACCAAAGCGAAGAACCAGCGAAGCTTTGAACTCCCAAATCGGCCTCGAGCCTGTAGGACATCATCGATTCTCAGCCTTCAAAAGCCCTGATTGCCTCAACTTCCAAAAGCCAAAGAAGCCCTCTAAGCCCTCTAAGCCCCAAGCCCAAAACGCCCCCTTCATAAGGTGAAGAAGGTCCGGCGTGGATTGAAGGCCGCGGAGGAGTGCCTGGATCGCTTGAAGAAGGCAGTGGGGACTGGGAGGGGGGCGATTGAGGTGCTTGAGGGTAGCTGTCGATTTCTTCTCCAAGCAAGCGCGAGAGCTGTTGTTGATTGAAAAAGGGGCCTTGTCTGGCAGAGAATCTGCAGGAAGAACCTAGCTGGGCCTAACATGTCCAGTTCTGCAGAATTTCAAAAGCGGCACTTGCTGGTGTCCTGGGAGGTGGGCGATCGAGCGCAAGTCTATGGGCCATGCAACTCAGACAGCTGAAGAGACGCGTTGAAGCCCGTATTCCGCAGCCTTGTATACGGGATGGGTTCGGAGGCCCCGAAACGAAAGCTCGAAGACTCTGCGGAGTTTACCTTGGCAGTTGGCTGCTAAGGCTCATGGTCGTGGCTGTCGCGCAGCTCAAGAGAGATCACCCAGAGCTGGCGCTCACGGCCATCGACGAGGCCATGCCGGGGGCTATTCTCGACAGCTTTTAGGTTCTGGGGATGTGGACTTGGTGTACATCTTGGCTTCTTTGGGTTTGGGGAGGTTCCGAGGTTTCGAGGTTCCGAGGTTCCAAGCTTCAGAATCGAGCGTCACTGCTTGGAGCATTGGCCATCCCCACAATTCTGAGGCAATCGACATTGCTCGTGATATCGGCGTCCTCCCGGCTTGATTGCCCGGGATCAGCCCGGATCCAGAGAGCGCTGCGCTTTTGTGTGAGGTTCATGTCCAGGCAGTTGTCGACCTAGTGAGGTGCTTGCAGAAAGGGCATTGGCCGGCGTCCTGTCTACAGCTTTTGATGTCAGGAGCGTCGCTTGGAGATGTTGGCGCAGTGCACGCACGCGGAGGCTACGCGGTGCACACTGCTCTGAGGCAATCTGTCATCAGATGGCACCTTTGCACTAAAATTTTGACACGATGCCCTATGGCTCTTTAAATCCAGACACCCATAAATCCCATGAATCCTAAGGTCCTAATTCCTAGATTGCCCTACATCCTGGACAGGTGAACGTCCAGCTGCAGAGCCGGGGGGATGCACTGGAGGCCGCTGAGGAAGCAGCTGCCATCGCGGAGGACGTGTCCTTGGTGCAGAGGGCAACTTACGGTGCAGGGTTGAAAGGTTGAGTTTGGGAGACAGTGACAGGGATGACACAGGACCTTCATCAGGTAAGCATTCCACCGTTGCAGGGAGGCGACCAAGATAGGCATGCGTTTAGTTTGCCGGCGGCTCGGACATGCTCTGAAAGGACAACGTTTGCGGTGTTTGTTCTAACGGGTCCAAACTGCCGTGCAGTTGCAACATGCTGTTTAGTGCTGCGCTTGGCTGTCTGATATTGTAAACCCATGGACACGTCGATCTGCTGCAGTGCCCCGGGCCAGATTCGCACCTCCCAAGCGCGAAGCTCCTAGCAATCCCAATAATCCTAAGCTTGTGGGGATGGCCGCTAAGGGCTCCTTGTCTGCTAGACCAAAAAAAAGGAAAAGGGGAATGACCACCAGCCCACTCCCCCCCCCCTCTTTGCCCAATCTCTGGGCTAAAGGAGCTCAAGGATGCCAAGGCAGAAGCAGATGCCGAGCTTGAAGCCCGGGTTAGGGAGAGGAGGGTTGTGTGGGGTTCTGTCTAGGGTTGTGGGATTGTGGGGTTGGGCTGTTTAGGGTTGAGGGTTTTCGGCGTCGCCGGTTCTACTGCAGGGGCTGCGTACAAGCTGCGTGATTGCGTGGTGATGCGGCAGGCCCTTGAGTGAATCTTTTCCTTCTTCAACATGTGCATGATGGCCAAACAATGGATACGAAAGCTCTCGATTCCCAGACAAAACATACAGAAGACATTGCCGCTAGACTTGATTAAAGTGGGCGGGTCCTTTCCCTCAGGTCAGCGTTTTTCTTGTTACACCATCACCACCAGCAACAACAACGGTAACAAGACCAATGCTCAGAAAAAGAAAAAAGGAACAATAACAGCAGCGGCCAGGAGCAGCAACATCATCACGTCAACAACATGAAGCATAACGGCAACAACAATGAAGAAGGAACAACACGACAACAGCAGCAGGAGTTCGATGCTATAGTCAGGGGCGCTACTCCATCAAGAGGACCCAGTAGCCCACATTAAATAGCACTGATAATTTGTAAACAAGCAGAGCTCTCACCTACTGCCCGCAGAGAGGCTAATATGAGTAATATGGTCTCGGCCTTAGTAATCCGATGGAACCGGTACGGTTCCTTCTAAAGATAGCGGCGCTGTCACTTTTCTTGAAACCATAAAGCAAAACCCTCTTTGGCAAAGCCTGAACCTCACACCCCCCCCCCCCCCCCGCCCGAAACTGCACCTTCAAAGCTTCTGAAAGGCGACTTTGCCCATTTCTGCCAGGGGCACCTGTAGAAACAGTGCAGGCGTTGATGCAGCTAAGGATGGTAGAGAACTTGAGAACCCGTACTTGCTTGAATGCGATCCAAAAGTGGCACCCCACTGTCTTCTACCCAGGTGCTTGCTAGTTTCCATCCTGCTGCGTGGTGTCCTGGATCGTTCTTCCTTAGTCAAGGCAGGGCTAAAATTGAATTTCTGCTTTGCAAGTGCAAAATAGCATGTTGCAGGGTGGCCGAGACTTCGGGAAGCTTCCTGAGCCACATCGTAGAATTGCAGCAGTTTTGGTTGCCTGTGTACTGGCTTGGCCCATGGTACTGCCAGCAGCTGCTTGCAGTATCCGCACTAAACGTGGCCTTTTCTGAGAACTGCTAACGTGCTGACTAGTGCTGAATGCTGCAGGCTCTCGCAGCAGCCAAGAAGGCTCGCGAGCTCTACAAGAAGGCTGGTTTCAGGCCAGCATGATGTCTGTTGGAGGCTTCATTAACCTGGGGTTGACAGTCGAAGAGTCTGCGAGTACTACTTTCAAGTTACAACTATTTCAGGATCCTCTAGTAGAGAGTCGGCTACCTCACATCCTACTGCGCGCACCGTGACTTGATACAAAAGACACGTAAGTAGCCTGTAGCAAGCTCTAGTTAACAGGGTCGAGCCCAGAAGCCTCTCTGTCGGGAGGAGAGGAGAAGCCAGGGCCTTGACCCACCGGGCATGGGGCTCAGCCTTTTTGGGAACCTGGGTTCCTTAAACAATGGTGTCTTTAGTCAAGGGCGCACAACAGGGACCTATCTTCGGGACCCTCACGAAGGATACTCGTCTAGAGAACTGACCGTGAGGCCCCCGAGGGCATCAGCCTTATCAGCTCTTTGGCAGTTACAGGCAGTTTTTCTCGTGGATTTGGAACCAGCTTGTAAGAAGTGAGCTTACGTTCCCTAAGCCTGTCTGTGTGCGTGTACATATATATATATATACACATACATACACGTACGCATATGCAAGAGGACACACATATCGACGTTGAGTGCCAAAATTGGCCTATTCGACCCACTGCGCGTGTGCCATGGAGATTAAGAGTTGAGTTGCGTAGCTTTGGGACCTCGTTGACGTGCCTCAGCGGCTCTTTGGAAACTTTGGGACATAGTCAAATCCCGAACTTTCTCTCCCCCCCGCCCTTCCCCATCGACCCTCCCAGCCTTAGCAAAACACCCGACCTCGGCCCCCCAGAATTGAAAGACAAATCCCCCTACAGACTTCAAAAAGAAAGCACAAAAAACAAAGACTTTATCCGCAAGCTCCCCACAGCTGGTGAGGCATCGGTGCTGGGCATGGACACTGCCATCTCAAGCCGCCATCTCAGCTTTCAAGGGCTGATGGGCCCCTTTGGAAGTGGAAATAACTGTGGACGTGGACACAGGTGTGTGTGTGTGTGCGCGCGCGTGCGCATGCGCGCGCTTCTATTTCCGGGTTGACCTGGGGCCCCATGACCAAAGCCGGGCCAATCTTGCATCTAGCAGCACCCCAAATTGCCGTATCACGCACTCACACGCGCGCCCCACAACCCGCATGCTGGCTTGGAGCCCCATGTTGCTGAAGCGTGTCTGGAAGGTGCAGAGGAGATGCTTCAGGTGGCCACGGAAGCCTATGACATCTTTGAGGACCCTCCCCCATGAGCATAGAGATGCTCTGTACGGAACATACTGAGCTTGATGACGATGGGACCATGGGTATGGCTTCACGTGGGTGCGCGTGACGTGCAATCGGCCACCATGGCATGCGGCTTCTCGGGGTGTCTCAATACGTAGTACGTGCCAACATGGGTCCAGCGACCATGGGTGAAAACATTGGTGCCGCGGTGTTTTCGTAATTTGTGTTTGGCAATGCTCTGCCCCAGGAGGAGGAGGACCTGCTTGGCCGGTCTGCCGCGCTGCAGCTGGTTGGAGAGGTGCCTCGCAGCTGCGTTTCTGACGTGGTCCTGGAATGAATCCAATCATGGATCATTCAAGAAGGTTTCTGATCACAGGCAACGAAGCGACGAAGCGATGAGACTCCTCCAGTTACAACAGCCACTCTGGCTCAGGTAGCGTTAGCTTCACTTGGACAAATGATCTCGCCCACAGTCTAGACGCCTATAGGCCTATAGCCTAGCCTGAGCGATGGCCGTCAAGCAACGTCGGCCACGTTGGGTGTGGATTTTACTTGCAGGCCTTGGTCTGGTTTCTTTTGACGTCTTTCTCGCGTCGGCCACCTGTGGGTTTGCGCTTGTCCGCCAAGAGGTTCAGGACCCACCAGGTTTTGATGGAGTCCGACCAACGAACTTCTTGATGATCGGGAATCCGGGCACAGGCAAGAGCACTGTGTTGAATGGTCTCATTCAGAAGCCCTACTTCAAGTCAGGGATGTCGTTTGGAGGCGGCATGACGTACGAGTTTGACAGGGCGGAGATTGGAAAGCACACGTTCCTGGACACTCCAGGCCTATCGGACCCGACAAGGCGAAAGCAGGCTGCTGAAGCCATCACTGAGGCGCTGAAGCAGAATGGATACTACAAGATATTTTTTGTCATCACCTTGCAGAACGGGCGCGTGCGCTCTGAAGATGTGACAACCATGAAGCTTGTTTTGGATGCATCACCAAGCAACAAGTATGGGGTGATCATTAACCAACTGAATTCACGAGAGTATGAGGCTCTTCACGATCCGGAGGGTGAGGCTAGGAAGAGTGTCCTAACAGCTCTCCTAGGTACGATGCCGGTAGACAAGTTGTCACCATACATCCACCTCGTTCAACATGATGACGATTTGGCGGGTGTGGACAACATGGCAAAGCCACTGCCTGACGACCTGAGGGACTTCATTCTGAAGACGTGCCCAGGCATCGACATTGCAGAGGTTGAAGTGGCGGACATTAAGGCCAGCGAGTATGAGGCTCTAACGTCGCAAATGGAAGAGATGCTTGCGGACAGCGAGAAACTGAAAGATGCTCTCAGGTCTCGCGAGGCCGAGCTCAAAGATTTGACCGAGGAGCTCAAAGCTGCCAACGGCAATGACCCCGACCAGGGCTTCGCGTTTCTGTCGATGGCCGCGCTCTTGACGCTCTTGCTGCTGTGAGAGCGGCAAAAAACATCGAGAGGGCGTACTAGGTCGTCCTTAACGATCGAGATGTACATCGTTCAGGTATTGATCTTCATTCCAGGTTGTGGAAATGGTCTTCCTTGTGACACATCCGCATCTGTTAATTAGCCAGACACATCTTTGAACCATCACAGTTCTGTCGAATTGAAGGGTTGATTGCACCGGTGACCAGGGGGTGAGTCAAGAGCTTCGTCCTGCACTTGCCAGGCGCAGCTAGTGAAGGAAGGCTTCGACGAGGCCTCGCAGGCTGCGCAAGATCGCCGAGCCCTTTGGAAGGCCCCTCTCCAAGGTTGACAGTCGAGTTTGCCCGCTGCCACCAGGAATGCCCATGCTTTAGGGTTTTCTATGATATCCTTACGCAGCATCCCCACTTCTCTGGGCTTTCAAAAACCACATGAAACGTAAGTTTCAACTCCGTTTAAAACCCCAAACCTGACAGGGCTTGGGCTGCCGAAAGGCACGGCAGCGCTTCTGCTTGTGGCGGATTGAGGGTTTTGTCCTTTGGGGTCGGGGTAATATCTGTTTCTCTTATTGGGTTGAGGGTTTCGGGTTTCGGTTTCGCGCTTTAGGGCTTTAGGTGTGTAGGTCTGAAGGAGTACAAGCTGCATTCGAAGAAAGGTGTCATTGCACAATTTGGCATAGTCGTCCCGGCACGGGGAAGACATGGGAAGACGATTCAGTACATATCATACAGGCTTTGCAGTCCCGACGCTGAAACGCAAATCCAGACAGCCCCGAAAAGCATCGGCCTTACGAGTCCAAGGACCCCGAACGGCTCTCGCCCCCCCCCCCCCCCGCCCGGAACCCACAGGAGGAGGGTGATGCAGTCCTCCAGCTGGCCCGGCTCTTGGCTCTCCCACGTGCAGAGTCGCAACAAGAATCATCATGCATGGTCCCGGTCCTTGGGAGCTGCCGTGGGAAGCCTGCAGCATGGCAGCGGTGAGACCTTGCACACCGCACGCCTGAGACGAGGCAAAGATCTTGCTAGCCAGCTCTGCGCCGAACTCAGGGACTTGAGCGTTTTCTGCAGAAGCTGCGGGCCGTTCCACCATATACCACCCTAAACTTACACCCCAGATGCGAAGTGAAAGATATTTCGAGCAATTCTTGACACATGCCGGAAGCGAGACGGACCCAGGAATATGATGCTGCGGAAAGGTATGGCATGGAGGCAGGCCGAGAAGCGCATGATTTCCGTAGAGCTCTCATGATTGAGAGAGGTTTGGACTGCAAGTGTTCCCAAAACCTAAGGCCTCAAAACCCGCCAGAAGCCCATAGCCAACTTCCTCCAGGCACAGAAGATCTTCCAGGAAGTGGGTGACAAAGCTGCTGAGCCTCTCGGCTTAAACCAAGACTTGGTGGTGCAGGGCTGAGGGCTCTTGTATCCAAGAAATTCATCTGCAATTCCCGAGCCCGGGGCAGTCTATCTATCCCCCACCCCCACCCCCCACAAAAAACATGAAAAACAAGATAGAAAACACAAAAGCCGACAAGCACTAGCCTATCCTCAAGGTCCGTGGCGTGCGTGCATCTGGCGCAGGCAAGAGCTTGATTAGCTACATGAAGGTGTTGAACACTTAGGCTTTCAACCACCGGTGACAAGTAGGCAGGTGTCCCATTACCATTGACTGCATTGGGCTTGTTTATGGCTCTTGGCGAAAGTTAGGTGGCATGGATGTTGCCCATGCTGCCCATACCTTGCCGAGCGCAGGCATGCCTAAAGAAGATGAGTGCTGAAGCTGAGGGCGAGACGAAGGAGGCCTGCAGAATTGGGGGGTGGGCTTTGAATTGTGACAGCTCGACAGAGGGCATGATGATGTGTTGTCGTGTTCTGCCACGCCTTGCCGGAGTCTGCCTTGTCACAGGCTTTGGCCTCTGCTTCCTACCGCTCCTCCGCCGAGAAGGCGGGCTTTCCTCGAGTTGAAAATGCCACACGTCGCGGCCAAACTCGTCCACCTGAAGCAGTACATGCAGTATTTGCAGCAGTCTGCTTGTTAAAGACGTTCTCGAAGGAAAGGGCACTTGCGAACGGAACCTTCCAGAGACTGAATGGACGAATGCTGTTGCTTCTGCCGCGATGGTTCTTGTCGTTGGTGCCATCAGGCCATGCGTGCTGCCAACGATGCCATCACAGCATGCGCGGCTCTGAGATATGGGAGGCGGGAGAGGCCGCAGCTGGGGCAGTCAAAGCCCAAAGTTGGCTCCAGTGGTTTGGGTGCATCTGCACTGAGTCTCACTTTCAAGCCTGCATCCCGAGGGTTGGAGTAGGCCCGAAGTGGCAACGAGAAAGCGTCTGAGGTCGCCACCTGGGTAGCAAGCAGCTCCGCCAGGACCTGAGGAGGGTTCGCACCCGGGCGTGGCACTCTCAACGTACGCATCCCGAAGCCCCGGTCTAAGCCCCTTGCAGCGCATTGGGTTCGGCATCGAGGCGCTGGAGCTCTGTTCTGGCGAGCGCAGGCACCTCCTTTGTCCTCGGTAGGCCCTTAGCACATCTTGGCATATTCATATTGGGTTTGAGAGGATTCTATTCCGGGAACATGCTCAGAGTCATTCAATCAAGGGCCAGTTGATCGTGGACTGTTTCGGCTCTTTGCGTGTTCCTTGGGCATCCGTCTCGGGTGTGATTTTTTCAGCACAATTTAGCATTGTGACCTTTGCCACTGTCTCATCGGGTTTCCTGCCGCTGGGGGGGCCCTCTTCGACTAATCCTGGGGTGTGACGGACTATTTCGGTTTCGGGGGGGTTCACGGCGTCCTGCTGGAAGAGTTCGCAGGTGAAACAGGGGGTGACCCAGAGGCCCAGCAAGACGATGGAAGTCCTGAGCAGAAAGCACCCTACGGAAAGCACCCTACAGGAACCCCAAGGCCCTAACATGTCCTATCCATACATCGAAAAAGCACCCTGCCGAGAGGTGCTGGGCTTCCGTGGCCGCCTTGAGGAATCGCTACGGGCCAGGAGCTGAGGCTTTCGAGTTTACGGGGCTTAGAGGGTGGGCTCAGGCCCTAAGCCCAAATTGCAGAATTCTGCAGAGTGCGTGTTAGGGCTTTAGGGTTCCAGGGCTTCATGGTTAATCGTAGGTCATAGGGTTTAGCGTTAGTTCTACAGCGTTTGGGGTAGATGAGGGTTTTTTTAGACCCCTTCCCCATGGGCTGTTTTTCGCCCCATGAACCCAGCCCTACGTGTCCCAAAGCCCCGAGAAACGGCCCCCCGAGGTCGTCCTCGATGCGGAGAAATGTTTCGAAAGCGCAGGGGCCGGCAGCCGCAGCCCTGGCGCTTGGGTGTTAAAGGGTTCGAAGGGCACCGTGGAGCACCACACGGATTTAACAGGGCCTTCAGGGCTCAGGGCTTCGGAAAGTTTAGGGGGTTGTAGGGCTTCAGGTTGGAATTTTCGGCGCTCCGATTCCAGCCTGAATATCAGGTGCGATGGTGCAATGCAAGATCCTGGCAGCGGATTGCCTTGCAGGCGCACATGGGCCTGAAGCATGTGCCACTGGACAAGTATCCTCCGCACCTGTGTCATGCGATGCCTTTCTGCCATGCAGTACATGGGGGGTTTACGAGCATAAGGAACCCCCAATATGGGCTCCCCAAATGGTAGGATGATACCCTTTGAAAAAGTAAACCCCCCACATGTTAAGAGCCAATTTACAGTCACGCTGTCTGGTGGCGCCTGTGGAGGCCTCAAGCACTTTGAGGAGGCGCGGTCAGCTGGCAGAATGTGGGTGGCGTTGCTACGAACTACCTCAAGCCCAATGTCTGAACACAGGAGATCCCCGCCCCCCAGCAAAAACAGGCCATGATAGGCCATGCAGGTTCGGTTCGTTCAGCTTTATGTCAGACAATGGGCTGACTGGCGTCATCTGGCGACCCTTTGGGTTCAAGAGCTTTATCACAGGATGAGCTCCCAGCTGCAGGTGCAGCATGGCGATGTACCTTCAGGTGTTTCCACAGAAACGTCGTCCACGTCCGTGCACCTGGATTCCATCAAGGTGCCCCGACCGGAGGATGTCCCGTGGCCCTGGATGGCAGCGCCTCCTTCCTTTCCCAGCTCTCCTAGCTCTTCATTCTCTTCATTGTCTGATCAGGACTTAGACATTTGGCTTGGGCCAAGCACCACTCTACCCGGAAAACTGGGCTCAAGAGACGATACCTTGTCGCGGATGTCGCGCGACGACATACTTTCGCTGGCAAACTGCCGCAGCACCAAGCGTTGCGTGCGACTCAGCGATTTCATGCGCCTGAATTCTCTGCCCGCCAAAGATGGACAGCAGCTTCAGCTCTCCTTCGGCAGCGCGCTCCATGTTGGCGATGGCACGAATGTTTTGTGCAAAGTGTGCAGCCGCCTGTTTGCAAATGAATTAGCTTGCAGGCAGCGATCTGTGTCTGCTGTCACCGAGGTGCAGCAGGTCATTATTAGAAGGTAGTTCGGTGAGCTTTGAGGGTACGGGACTGCTACTTTAGGAGTGCGTGCATGAGATGGCTCAGGTTTCCACAAGCCCCCGCTCCGCATATGCAAGAAGGGAGCCTTCTGCGATTTCTGTCATCTGCATGATGGACGACGCAACGGACGTCGACGGAGCTTGCGGGAGCCCGGGCCCATCTTTATCTTTCTTTTGGCAGGGTTGGCAGGTGTTTGGTAAGAATAGCAGTTGCGACATGTTGTGATGTGGGACTTTCGTATTCGTCGCAGTTATCGCTTTTCCTCGTGTTGGCCGGGTCCTTTCTGGTGAAGGGGTTCGCGTGAAAGTTACACATGAGATCACTCAGCAGTCTTTCTACGAGGTAGCTTAGCGAACGTTTTGGTCCGCTACCATGGCCGTACCAACAACATCGGAAACGGAGTTGCGGTGAGTGGCAAATTCTATTGAAAGACGCGAAGCAAGCCGCAAGCACAACACGCCTGAAAGGGCTCGCCAAGCGCTATCGCAAAAAGTCGCAACCACGATTGCCACTTATGATCCCGGTCGTGAGAGCAAAGGGCTGTAGGTAAAGTGCAGTGTGCAGATGTGGTGTGTGTGCCGATGTTTGGCGCAGCTTGCTGGTGTGGCGCAGTGTCAGGGAGTTAGGGTTCGGTGATGTCACAGTGATGTCGATGAATGATGCAAGTTCTACCACCCTCTCGTGCGAAGCGCAACGGTCCGCATTGAGAGGGAATTGGGACCTGGCAGGTAACCAACACATGGCCCCGATGGCCCAGGACTAGGAGCCCCCGAAAGCCAGCAAAGGCCCTCTCCAAAGTGTTCTAAGGATGAGACCGGCAGGATGACGTGGGCAGACACAGAAGTTCAAGTGCTCCAGGGAATTCGCCTGTGATTTCTTAAGGTCCCAATTGCAGTTTGTGTCTAGCTCGTCAGACCTAGTGGTGTTTCGCTGATTTGTGAAGAACGATGCTCCGCTACTGATACAGCCGCCACCGGCACCGAGATGAGGTGGTTGAGGCCCTAGCAGAGGATGGTGTACAGTGTATAGTTCATCAAGCTTGACTTCCCAATCCATCAAAGGCAAGTACACCTTGGACTTGCCTCATTCCCCAGATCCTGGGCACTTTACACCCGGTGACCTCTACATGATAATTGCGAGCTTGGCTACATGATTCTTTGGCCCCTATTTGCACTTGAGGATGCGCCAAGACACATCTACCTGTGTATTTAAGCAGTGGAGCTCAATGTTTCATTCCTTCGCACAGAACTTCGAGAGTGTGATGTTAGTGCTTCAATTTCTGCAGTATTCTGCAGTGATTTCCGTGCGGGCTTTCCGCTGCGGTGGTTGTTTGCATGGTGGCTGTGAGACGAACAGCTGCGTGCCCCTCACCTGCAGAAAAGGTGTCCAAGCTTATGGCGCGAAGCTCACTTGCAAGGGCCCGTGTGCAGTATGTGCAGCCAAGCTTGGGTTAAACTAAGAGCAGTACGCTGGTGCTGATCATGGCCTTTGTAATCAAGTGCTTGTATGTCTCGACACCCTTTGCCTGCACAACGTTGCTAACATGGGGGCTTCTCCCATCCAAACACTGCACCATTCATTCACAAACACCCAAGCTTTAGTCTTGAAGTGCAGGCAACCCCACACTAGGCACGGAAGAGCTGCAGAGCTATTGGGCACAATCAAAGCAGGTCAGGTTGTCTTTGGAAGCTAGCAGAGTCAGCTGTGCTCAGTTGGTATTATATTTCCTGCCCCAAACCCACACCTCCTAGAGCCCTGGAATGCCCTAAAGTGGGCCCGTCACCCCAACTTCCCCCCGCAACCCCCCCCTCAGCCTCCTCAACTGCCTCAAAAAAAGCCTATGGTTTCTGGAGGCCAAAGAAGTGGCAGATCAAGCCATGAAGCAAGCCAACTCCTTGCACGATCGGCAGGCATCCGGGGGTGCTGTGCGTGGGGTCTGGAGGGTTGTAGGAGTATGAAAGGGTTCGTGGAAGGGCTTAAAGAGGGCAAATGATGATGAGAACACACTCAGAGCGCTCCGGAGAGCTTCGCTTCCAGCATCTTCCAGCACTTTCTTGCCTCTTGAAGCCCCTCAGTTCCCACTCAGTTCTGCAACGTAGGCGGAGACTCAGTCAAAGACATGCCTGGAGAGAATCGAGAAGGCCGAGAAGAAGAGCTTGGCACCCAGCAATTTTTGTTCCTAGGCTGTAAATCCCAACTCCTCCTAGCAACCCCCCAAACCGAAACCCAAGAACGCCAAGAACACTGGAGCCGAGGCAAGGAAGTCGCGGCACCGCCTGTGCAGCAGATGATTGCCGCAGACGTGCGCGGCTCTCGGCAACGGGTTTTAGGGTTTAGGTCTGCTGAAAGCACACGAATCCAAGGACCCGAACTCCTGCACACCATTCGTTGCTTTACGGATACGGCATCAGCTCCATCTTTCTCTGGACTAAGCAGATTAAAGACAAAGTTTTGAGCCCAGGCCTTCTGGTCAAGCAGCACCTGCTGCAGGCACTTGACTGGCATTCAGGGCTTCGCATTGTCTTCAAATCCGTCAAATCCGACAACATGTTTGAAGTACGCGACTCCTTGTTGCTGCCTCTTTACAGTCCTGGGAGGGTCAACTCAGGCAAGTACAAGTACGGTTTCAGAGTCTCTCGATACTTAACTCGTATACATATCTGCGAAGGCAAGGTTTACTTCCAGTCTGTCCCTGCGCCGTAGCACCCTCCACCTTGTGAATTTCGGAACTTGAACCGTCGCGCCACCGACCCAACTCGATCGATATGAGACCGACAATATATATATATATATATATATATGGAGACATACATATGTAAACGACATCCTACACAATTAGTATATTACTTGTATAATCTTGTATTGTGCTGAATTCTTTCAAGGAACTACGATCAGGGCTTTTGGGGCTTTTGGGGTGTAAACTAGTATTTGTCGATTTGACTTGCACTTCGAGCGAGAGAAAGTTCTGCACGCGGGCCAGCAGGCTTTTCACCCCATCAGCTAAGGTTCGCTTGGAGCTGACACCTCTTAACTTTACTCAAACAGTTTGCGTAGATGCAGCCGCCCCACAGGCGCCGCACCGGCGGCTTCGGCCGTGGCGCCAGAGCAGCCAAAGGGTGCGCCCCCCCCCCCCCCCCCCCCCTCCCGCGGTTTCGGGTTTAGGGTTTAGGGTTTTGAAAGGGTCCCCCCTTGATGGCTTAGGTGTAGAGCAGTTTGCCTGCCGGCATCCCTCGCAAGGCTTGGACCCGACGCTTGCAACAAAGAGGCTGATGAGCATCGTGAGCGTCTCGTGCGGATGCGCCCGCATGCACATCGACATTGTGCCGAAAGGAATTTCATTGGTTTGATTGGTTTGACTGCCAAGGTCAAGGACGTGATTGCCGCAGATGATGAGATTACGGCGGCCGCCTCAAGCGTATCTGATATTGGATAAATATCTGATATTGATTAAATCAATACAATCTTGTCTTCGGGACATGTAAAGCGGATCCATGTGCATGTACAGGGATGTTGAAATCCTAAGGCTGACAGCCCGCTGATGGAAGCTGGCATGGACAGCCCGGACCCCAAAGTGACCCGCTTTGGCACGATCTGCCGCTTTCAGCAACAGGAGGTTCTCGTGTGCACTCAGTTGCGCTAAGGTCTGTCGTCCGTCCAGCTCGTCACGGAGGCTGTTGCTGCGTTCTTGCAGAGTGGTAGTACCAATGCCAGACAACTCCGTGCATCTCCGAAGAGTTGCGGAGTGGGCGTTGCCGCTTTTCATGCAGGTGTCCAAGGAATTCCAGATGACCCTCTCACCATCTTTGGTGTTCGACTTCCCGAACGTGGCGGTGTTTGGGCTGTCATTACGAGACATTCTGAGACATTCATGCAGTCTGTCACCGATTGAAGATGAACATCAGAATCTTCAGTTGAGTGCAAGCATAGACGGAAGGAGCTGGACGGAGAGGGCAACCAGAGAGGCAAAGATGTCACGCGAGCTACAGCAAGCTGCCCTGAGGCCATCGTCAACCACCTTGTGGAAGAAAGCCAGGGATGAAGAGGACTGGTCAGCTGAGTGGGGGCGCACGAACTCAGAAGCTTCATGTTCTCTTGTTGGTGACTTCTTATCAGTAGATTAGGAAGCTCCATCACTGTGACTTGTTTGGCTGATGGTCTTGGAGAATGGACGCAGGAAGCGCAGCCATAGTTTCGAGCGAACAGCGTGCTTCGAGCAAAGCATTTTGTTTCAAGCAGCTTATGCATTTCATTACAGTCCTCCGACGCCCTCTCTGAACACGATCGGATGTTTTGCTTTGAACAAGTGGAGAGTGGTGAAGCTACGCTGGCTTTCTTGCCTGTGCAGCGATGCACTACATGACATATCTTCCGCTTGAGTAGTGGTCAGTAGAACGGCACGAGTTTAGAGCACGCCTCCGCTTCGGAAAAGAAATCCTGAGAGGAATCATGCAGCAGGTGCAGGGGTTTTCGGGATTGTCGGGCTTAACGCTTAGTATCGATGGCCTCTGCTTACCTGGCTCAGGAAGCCCTACAGGTGCAAAGCACACCCGTCAAGTAGCCAAGCTTGGGGATTTAGTCCTCGTGGTCTTACGGCTGACCGTACAAGACCCGACAGACTCAAGACAATCCGGACAGTCTGGGTTAAACGGGGTGAACATTGAACCTGGTCTCTTGTTGTCAGCTCCAGGATCACACTTGTAGCTGCTTTCATCTGTTGCCTCCTCCACTGCAACTTCTGACATCATGCGGCTACTCAGCCATGACAGCCAGCAAGCGGTGGCGGAGTTGATTCGACCAGATGCTGGAACGAACAACCCGATGTCGCTAAAGGCCCAAAGCTTTCACGGACCATGCAGGGTACAGTAGCATGGCCCGCATGAGTGCCATTGCTGAAGCCGGAATCGGGGTAGTTTCCCAAAACCGGGCTCCCTCCAAATATACCAGAACCCTGATAATCGGAACCCCCGAAAAGCAGGTACTCCGGTACTCCGAATTGTTGCAAAAACCCAAGTTCTGTTGGGAAAGATTCATCTTGCAGCTGGCTTTGAAGCTTGTGGAGGCCACGTGGTCCCCGGCCCCTTTGGGCCCCGACTTTGTGCCCTGCGCCGTGGGCTCAGCCGGCCGCGGTTCCAACGCCAGAACAGCTTTGCTCATACCTGTGACTCAGAGCGAAATTTTCAACATATTTCAAAAGTCTTCTTGAGACATGTGACGTTGCGTTCCGTCACTACAGCCGTTCTTCAGAAACTGAATGAAACTCGTGAAACACAACGTGCCGCCCTCAACGATTTCAATCCTTTGCAGTGTAAAGTGGCAAGGCTGTGAATGGTCCCCAAATCAGACGCACCCGAATGTCACCCCGACCTCAATCCCTCCCCCAAACCCAGGTCCCAAGTCCCAACAACTCCTGACTCTTAAGCCTTAAGCTCCCCACAGGTTTCTCGAGCTCGGCATCTGCTGCCCTCGTCGCGATTTCTCTGTGGCCCTGAGGAGTACCATCGAGATGCTTTATTGTTGGTGGAAAGTTGTTGACGGAGGGTCTAAAAGAATTTCCAGCACTTGATTGAGGGAGCCGCAAAAAGCCCGCGGCTGGGTTGCGCGGATGGCGTGCCGCATGTTTTGGGTGCGCTCGCCTATATAGCCCCCCCCATGAATTCTCGACCCTGTCGTTTACATCTCATCCAGATTGTTGATTTTGCGTTGTCGCACATCCACACCGTACTCTCGCCAACGTCCTGCGCGCAGTCCGTGGTCCAAATTGTCGAGCAAGTATTTATGTGTCTGCAGCGCTCGGTGTCACAAATTTGGTAGCGACCTGCTTTCTTGCTGCGCGCACTCTTGGAAGGGGTTCGTTTCGTGCTTCCGTTCTGAAGGCCTTTGATCGTTCCTGCGTTTCGTCGCTTTGGCTTCGAGATCGTGCATCAGCCATGATGCCTGCGTACGATCCTCGCAAAGTGCAGAAGTCTGACAGACCATGCAGGTATGAGGTAAGTTTGTTCCGTACAACTGCACCGGCGAGTTTCATTAACTTCCTAAGCCTCAGTTCGGCTACTTAAAGTGAATAATTCTCCCTTCTCTCTCTCTCTCTCTTTCTCTCTCTCTCTCTCTCGCTCTCGCTCTCTCTCTCTCTCTCTCTCTCTCTCTCTCTTGCCTGGTATGCTATCATGCCCATTTGGTCAAAGGTTTGTCGAGCACGGATGGCACAAACCAGCCGCCAGGTTCGGCTATATATATATATATATACTAGCATGTATTCATATTTATTTGTTTAGAGCTGTAATGCACAACACACACACACACAACCCTTTGCTTGAACTTCAGGTCCAATTGTCTTGGATATTTCGTGATAACTTTCCAAGTTGCCTTGCAGTGCGAGAGGACATATGTCATTCTCGTTTGCCTAACCACGTGAAAGTCTTGGCTTTCCATCTAAATGTAGTCTAAATGTAGTTGGAAACTGTGCGGAGACCTGGAAGAATGCCGCGCGTTGCGACTTGAAGCCAGTTAAGCTGCAAACCTCTACTGGAATGCTGCTCAGTCAGAGGACATAAGCCACGGCTTCAGATCCGTGTCCTTCATTTCCTCCAAGAGGGCCCTGAGACTGGCAGATGCCTCAGCTGGGTCCGAAGTTTTGCAGGATGTTCTGAGCAGGAGTAGCGCCAGCCGGCACATCAGCATTTTCATGTTTACGAGAGCGGCTACTGGTAGCAAGCCTGCCGGCCAATGCATCCAGGTCAGTATGTGGGAGCTGACCTACAAAGAGACCTCAACCCAGGGCCCACAATTGTAAGCGCTTGCGCGCTCCGCCTCAACAGGGTCCCTTGAGGGTGTCCCAAGCATGGCAACGGCCGTTTGGCCGTTTGCTGGCCATATGACATTATGACACCGCGGTGGCAGGTTGCTGCTGGGCCTAGATGGCTTGCTCTCCTGGAAGGGGTGGATGCGGTGTTTGGAGTGTTTGGGGTGGGAATGGGGGAGGAGACCAGATGTTCTTCTTGTTCCAGACGCCTCTCAATTGCCCAGGCGAGTGTAGAGAGCAAAAGCCCAAGAAATCAACGTCGTCACTGTACCCAGGGGGAAGAAGGTCATGCGCACCAGCCAGGTGGGTGCTTCTCTTGGGGGGCGTGGCCTGTTGTTTCAGCCCACAGCTCTTTGCTTCCTTGCAGCAGTAGATATGGAGTATGTTCTTGGATCCCGATTATTTTCTCGAACCCTATGGCCCCTTTCTGAACCCAGCTTCCAGCTGTGAGCGAGCGTGCAGGTGCTGGCGTGCACATGAGACGCTCCTCGTTCAAGGCCAAGGCCAAGGTGGCAGAGGAGACAGTCGTGGAGGAGAAGGAAGTTCCTCTGTCCTCTTCGGGTTTAGGGCCAATGAGATTTTTCGAAGCTGAGCTTTGAGGGACTTGCGGGGTTCAGAGCTCTGCGACACTTGTGCAAGCTGGGGGGGGGGGGGTGCAGGGATTGCCCGAGGTTTTTTGAAGTTATGAACGCCCTCAAGCTCAGGCTGAAAAGGCAGAAGAGCTGGAGGAGGAGGAGGCCGCTCAGAAGCAGGCAGACCGGCAGATGATCTGACTTAGTCAGGGGGCCCTCGGAAAGCCAGATCCTAAGTCCCAACGGGAGTTTTTGTGTAGGAGTTTAGGGATGAGGGCGTGCAGGCTTTTGCAGTTTATATTAAGGCTCCAAAAAACTCAAGAGCCTCGGAAAAACTCGTTGGTTTCGGCTTTTTGGCCTGCTACTTCGGCGTGGGGATGACTTGGGCAGTTGGACCGGGAAACCATCCCTAAACCGTAAGCCATAAGCCGTAAGCCCCCAAAAGCTTGCCGAAGCCCGCAATGCCCCCTTATAGGAGGCCTTGGAATAAAGCCTCAGCCCGAGTGAAACTCCAAACCTCACATGTCAAGACGCCTGGGATCCCGCAAACGTGATCAGCAATGCCCTATGTCACAGTCTTTGGTATTGACTACGAAGGCCCATCAAAACCGCCCCTCATGTTCTGGATCGAAACGCCCCTGACAGGCCGACCCCGACAAGGTCAACCCAGAGTGTGGCTGCCTCAAGAAGCTTCTGGCACTGGATACAGATGGGTACAGGCTGGTACAGGATATGGATGTGCCAGATGGGCATGGGGAAACTGGATGCTGTGCGATTTCTCAGTCCTTAGCAAGCTTCACCCAAAATAGGATGCATTGCCTCGCTGAGGCACCCAAGCAAGGAAAATCAACCGCCCTCGGTGCTGTTTGTGCATCAACGGAAGCTTGGCTTTTTTCAGGGCTTTCCGGCTTCGTGCGCCCGGCTGGTTTCGAGGAGTCCTCCGACGCCCTAAGGTGAGTCAATCTGGTCCCAGGATGGCAGCTGCAAACACTGCATGGAGAGCGGCAAGGGCATCAGAGATTGCTCGGAGGTGGATGAGGGAAGCTCGGCAGAGACGAAGCTGAAGATCTAGGGTTCCAGATTCGATATCAGGTTCATCCATAGCCACAGTCTATGGCTTTTATTTACATATCCATGTCTTTTCTTGTAGCTATTTCTCATCTGATTGTAAGATATTTTTGTTGCCATGCTTGAAAAGATGATAGTGTTGCAAGGTTGCATTCCGGGCTCCGTCAGCTGGCCCCTGAAGTACAAGGAGCCTGAGGCCGATTGGTTAACCAGCACATGTCCGTCGGGCGCGACGCGCCGGGGGAGAGGGGTGTTCTTGACCGGTATCTTGGGGGGCGAGAATCACGGCGAGAACTTCCAAGGCTCTGTAGCTCATACCCCCAAGGCTATACAGCCCATGCCCCTGCTGGAGCTACACAGCCCGTGACCTGCTAGGGCTCGAGGGTTCCTTCTGATTTATAGGATTAGGGTTTTGGGTGCTTCGAGTGTCAACGGGAGTATCACAGCGAGGCACAGGGTGCGCACAGTGCGCCAGAGCCCCTGTCACAGGATGCTTCACGGCAAAAGCTGCGATGATAGTATCTGATAGACACCTGGACACAGGGTACCGAAGCGACAGCGCGCAGCATCGTCGGAACCCTGCAGTTCAAAGTTTATAGGATTGATTCATCATACTGATACTTCTTCTAAGTGCTGCAAATCATGCTTGGCTTCCACATGCATGAGCCCGTAGTGGGGCACGTTGCTGAAATACCTGCTCACGAAAAAAGTGAACCATGCCAACACAAATATAAACTGCTTGCTCATTCGACTGGTGAGCTGTTGGCGCTGGCCGGTCTTTCTCACGAAGCGCGACCTGAGCTTGAACCGCGATTTGCAGAACAGGGCATGCAGCAAGATTTACAGCAAGCTACGTCTTCAACCATCTTGTTTGCTGTTGCCGGTTGCTGCTGCTGGTGCGTTGATGTTGCTAGTCTTGTTTGTAAGGTATTGCAGTGCAGCGGTGTTTGCCTTAAGGTTGGCAAAGTTCGTGCTGCACCACGCCGGTAGATATTACATGACCTTCGTGAGCTCTAACGAGCCAGTCTCTTCTCAACACACTAGCCACACATAGAGCACGCTTTGAGAACTATCCTCATTGACCTGTGAAGTTGTCCAACCATGCAGGGCGGGCACGGTCATGGCGGAGAAGGGGAGGCACATCGTGTGCATGGTGGAGCAGGAGAGGCGCATTACGGTGCAGGAGAGGCCCAGGCACATGGTGGCGAAGGAGCGGCACACGCCGAAGGAGAGGAGAAAGAAAAGGATTGGAATGAGGAGGATGACAGTCGAGGTGAAATCTGCGCTGAGTCGTGTGGGGTGCTGAGTTGACCCTCTCGCTACACCTCTAGACAATGGGTCACGGGCTGTGTCACAAGAGCTGTTCTGTGAGGTGCTGAACGGTTTGTCACCAACATCTCCGGGGAGATGAAGATCCCCCGCGCTCGGACACCGCAAGAAGCCTTGAGGCTGACCAAAGAAGCCGAAGCAGAAGCTACCAAAGAGGACCCGAACTTGCTTGGCTTGCAGTATCTTTCAGCACTTCAGCTCTTCAGCGCTCTTCAGGCGAAAGTTGCTGCACAGCAAGAAGAGGTGTCGAAGGAAATGGCGGAGCACGGTGACGAAATTGGAGCTCCGGAGACTCCCGGGACTCCGGAGACTCCGGGGACTCCGGAGACTCCGGAGACTCCGGCGTAAGGTGAGGTTGACTCCTCAACTTACCCTCTCGCAGTTTCGGTTTCACCGGTGTCATCCAAGTGCGCCTCATGGTGAAACAGCAAGAAGTTGTGCTGCGACCTTGTGTGGCGGACGAGGTGGGGGCGAGGGTGCTGGGCGCAAGGCGCGCATAACTGTTGTCAACAAAAGTCGACTGGCCAAGACAGATTCATGCCGCTGTTTTTCACGGCTGTCGTGGTGACCTTCGCCCGCAGGAAGACCTTTAGCTGCTTGCATTTCTTCGTATGCAGCGAGATCGCTGAACATATCATGAGACATGCATGTTGCCAAGAAACCACGGGCCATAATCTTAATATCTAAGCCCTTTAACCTACATGGGGGGCCTAACTACATGCCACAAAAAACCGCATACCACATGCGCACGTTGAAGATCAGAGTTGCGCTCGGTATGGCTTGACTTGAAGCATGGCAGCTGGCGCGCGAGAGGCGTGCAAGGCCATCCCGCGCCACACTCGGCATGAAGCCCAAACCGTAACACCAGAATCCACTAAGCGCCCTCCCCCCCGATAGATCTTCAACGGCCAGTCCCAGATGGCGCCAGACCTCAAGATCATGTATGACCCCTCTCCAAAAGCCACTGAGGCTGCTGCTGGAGCAAGTGCATCTGTCAGACGAGGAGGCGAGGCCAAAGGAAGCTCTGGTCCTTTCAGCTCAGGGAACCTTGTAGGAGTTGATGTAGGCAATCAGGACACCGCAACAAGGATCCGAAATTTAGAACCACCCCATGCTTAGGCTTTGAAAATGGCTGATAGGGATCATGAACTCGTAGGAATGCAGGTCGAAGAGCTCGTGGCTTCCCTGGGCTCTGCGAAGTTTTTCGGGTTGAGTCTTTTGAAAGAGGGTCTTCTGCCTTGACACCCGCGCAGCCGCGTTTTGTGGGGACTCGGACGTTACCTTGGGGATTAAGAGGGTGTGTTTTGGATTGAGGTCACGCGTTGGGGTGTTTCTGCCTGGCAGACAGTCAGACAGGCCACCTGTGGCATGTGTTGTTTCATCACTTGATTCCACTTCTCATTTTTCGATGAAGGAAACGGAATCAAACGGGTCTCCAGATGCCGGCTCATACGCGCTCCACGGGGCAACAATTCAGCCTCTGCAGCCCACGCTTGTGGCTGTGTTGAGATGCATTGAGGGTCTGACCGTCTGACTGTCTGCTTTTCGTCTTGTGTCAGACACTCGAACACCCTTGGGGTCCGTTCTTTGGCACCTAAATGTCTCTGATGAACGGATCCATCCTGTTCAAGTGCTCTACTGTGCAACAGTTCAGCCTCAGGAACTCACATTATGCATCGGTTTGCGAGCGTAAATCTGAGTGTCTGACCCGTCTGACCCGTCTGACCCGTCTGACCCGTCGGACTGTCTGACCGTCTGACTGTTTCACTGTCTGAGATTCCGTTTCCAGGCCATTTGCACACTTTGTCTGTTTTTGGGTTGGGTTGTGGGTTCGGCCAAGCCTTAAGCCAAAGCACCAGAAATCCTAAACCCTCTAACCCCGGACAAAGCTGAAGCTGTGTCGGTTGGGCGGGATTCTCGCCCCCTGGCCTGGGCCAGGAACTTCTCCGTCCGGAGACTCAGAGCTTCTTAGAGGAGCTTCAGGGGGTTTCGGTTTCAAAGGGTTTCGGGTCCTCAGATGTGCTGAGTCTGTGTTGGGGGTGCAAAGTGCATACACCCAATGTATGGAAACTGGGTTGCATTTTTTCGGGGTTCGCGTGTTTTCGCCATCTACACTCCTCTATCCCAGGACGACAGCGCATCCCGTCAGCGATTTTTCGTTGGCATACTTTGCAAAGCAACTGTACGCCCTGTTCCTGAACAGAGCCAGAGTCTGCTCGTAGAACCGCCGTGTCATTTGCAAGTTTGATCCTGTTGAAAGGTCAGTCTTCCGTCGCTCTTGCATCTCTCTCCTGCGACTGCTTGCACCTAGCTCAGCGCAGAATCGTTTTGCCTGGAAGGTTAGCGGGTCCAGGGTTGTGCGGGGTGAGTGATGTTGATGGTGATGGAGATGATGAGAAAACGAGGATGGTGATGTTGATGGTGATGGTGATGACGGCGACAACGATGATGCCAATGATGACGCTCATTGTGATGCTGATGAGGACAATGCTTTTTGTTTATGGCGTGCTACGATTGTAAGGGTGGTTGTCGTCGTTCTGGTTTTGTTCTCGGGCAAGCAACATATATTCAGCCAGCCCGAGACGTACATGCAGACGGTCAGCAAAGGTTGAGCAGTTGAATAGCCGGATGTTGGCATGGCCGACTAAGACGGAATGATAGATGCCACTGCTAGATCGCCGAACATGTTACAACTAAGTCAAAGAGTCCTGAAGCTGTCAGCAAGAGCAGGGTCCATCCAAAGGTTCACCTGCCAAGCTAGCAGGCCGGTCACTACGCATGCCGACTCTACAAAGGTAAAGCAGAACCGCTCACGTACAGTACATCAGTCGGAGCAGGTTGAAAGCTGAACGTACGCTTCGCTGCAGCCTTCGCTGTAGCTGTCACTGTAGTCGCTGGCTGTTTTGAGGCTGGAAGTGCTGAGGGGCGACGATGGCCGGCATGTGAAGGACATCTCCCTGAACCCGAAGCCCGCAGACCTTGAACCCTGAATACAGGCGCTTAGCCCTTCAGGGGCATAAAGGTCTAATGGTGTCGTCCTGTGCAACTACGCGTACTCATCTTTGAACTAGGGGAGATTCTAAGTTTGTAGAGCACACAACTGCTGCGGAGGTGGTTATCAGTGCAATCGTTCCAGGCACAGCAAGATGTTGAAAGCCAACATCAGGACGTATCGGTGCCGGCAGATGGCTGGGTGGAGGTTGAGGCAGCTGGCAGGGGCAGTTCGGAGAGCCGCTGCCATACAACTACGTCACGAGTCAGAGTGGAGCATGCTTTGTCACATCATGCAAGGTGCAGATGTTCGACATCGGAGTCTGTTGCTGATGTTGGAGAGGCACTATAGCCAGCTCTGCGGTTGCTGCGTTCCGGCTCGAGGCGTAGTTTTGCCACGTTCCAGCCGGCCAGTCCGAACATAGTCATGGCGGCGAAGCGCGGATCCAACCCTCGGGTGGCTCAGGCCATGGCACTGGCTGCCACAGCCACCGCGGCGGGGTCCGCATTCTCCATGATGGCCGCGCCTCAGGTTTCACAGTCCCGCGTTGTGGCCTTGGCATCGGGCCCCAGCCCGGCAGCACCAAGTGGAGCGGGAGTTGCAGGCGTCACTGGCCTGGTGGGTGCAGGCCTGGTAGCCAGCGCTGCGCTCAGCCGCTCTGCGAAGCCACGGAGTGGCAAGAAGAACCTGGTGTCCATGGCTGCCCGCGGAGGTGAGAGCTCTGATGCTCTGGTGAAAGACCTGGAGGCCCTTGTCAAGGAGAAGGACTGCGGGGCAATCCTGGTGCGACTGTCCTGGCATGATGCCGGCGTCTTCTCTGATGGCAAGCTGAAGGGTGGCTGCCCCAATGCTGCCATGCGCTTCACAGATGGCGGAGAGGGTACCTTTGGAGCCAATGCCGGCCTTCCCGACGTTGCCCTGGGACTGCTGAAGCCTATCACCGAGAAGTACGTTCCTGACACGATCGGACATGCTGATCTGTGGACCTTGGCTGCCAACGTGGCAATCAAGGTCATGGGAGGCCCAGACATCAAGACCCGCTTCGGCCGAAAGGATGCGGAATCCTCCGCCGACTCTGTGGAATCCCAGGTAGGCCGTCTCCCAGATGGTGACAAAGAGATCGACCACCTCAGAGAAATTTTCCACCCCAAGGGCTTCACCGATAAGGACATCGTGGCCCTGTCGGGTGCGCACACTGTCGGGTCCTGCCATTTGGACCGCTCCGGCTTCGACGGCCCATGGACGGAGGCCCCCTTGAAGTTCGACAACTCCTACTTCAAGGTGTGCGCCATGCCACTTTGTGAGCCATCGTGTCCCTAACATGATACGAACCTGCTGGTTCCTTGTGGGCAGGAGATGCTGGCGAAGAAGTACGCCGAGGACACGACAGAGAAGGGCAATCCTCAGTTCAAGGACAGCGAGACTGGCACCATCATGCTCATCTCCGAAGCTTGGATGATCTTGGATTCATGATGCCGCATGACACAGCGGCTGCAGTGAGAGGTGGTGCCACCCTGTCCTTCTGGGGGTGGGTAGGGAAGGCGGGGGGGGGGGGGGGGGGGGGGGGGGGGGGGGGGGGGGGGGGGGGGGGGGGGGGGAAGGGGGTGTGGCGCAGAGCCCCGAATTCAGGATCTGGCCTTGCTGAAGGAGCCCGCTTTCAAGGAGCGCGTCGCAGTGCGTCCCACAAGAATGGGGATGATGCGGAGAATCACGTGGAATCATACGTGGGTATCATCAGAGCGCACGCCAGCACTGAGAGTCAGGTGCCATGTTACATGTGTTACGTGTCTCCGAAGCTGCTTCTATAGAGTGTACTCAAGGAGCACGTCGAGAAGTACGCGGCCGACCAGGCTCCGGGCAGCATCACGGAGCTTCAGTAGTCATTGCGCTTGCTGATCGCTGCTCCCTCCTACGAGTACATCAGCCCATGGAATCGATGCAATTCATTCCGTCCTATCAGGTCCTATCAGCTTGATAGGAGCATGCAGCTTAGCCATGCTGACAGGATGCATACTTCAAGGACTTCACCGCTGCGTGGGTCAAGCTGCAGGAGCTGGGCTGCTCGGGTCTGCGGGACAGCCTTTGCCACTTGGCCGCAGGGCAAGGCGCTTCGGGTGTGCGAATGGGTGATTATGCAGGTGCTGATGTTGGAGAGGCACTATAGCCAGCTCTGCGGTTGCCGCGTTCCGGCTCGAGGCGTAGTTTTGCCACGTTCCAGCCGGCCAGTCCGAACATAGTCATGGCGGCGAAGCGCGGATCCAACCCTCGGGTGGCTCAGGCCATGGCACTGGCTGCCACAGCCACCGCGGCGGGGTCCGCATTCTCCATGATGGCCGCGCCTCAGGTTTCACAGTCCCGCGTTGTGGCCTTGGCATCGGGCCCCAGCCCGGCAGCACCAAGTGGAGCGGGAGTTGCAGGCGTCACTGGCCTGGTGGGTGCAGGCCTGGTAGCCAGCGCTGCGCTCAGCCGCTCTGCGAAGCCACGGAGTGGCAAGAAGAACCTGGTGTCCATGGCTGCCCGCGGAGGTGAGAGCTCTGATGCTCTGGTGAAAGACCTGGAGGCCCTTGTCAAGGAGAAGGACTGCGGGGCAATCCTGGTGCGACTGTCCTGGCATGATGCCGGCGTCTTCTCTGATGGCAAGCTGAAGGGTGGCTGCCCCAATGCTGCCATGCGCTTCACAGATGGCGGAGAGGGTACCTTTGGAGCCAATGCCGGCCTTCCCGACGTTGCCCTGGGACTGCTGAAGCCTATCACCGAGAAGTACGTTCCTGACACGATCGGACATGCTGATCTGTGGACCTTGGCTGCCAACGTGGCAATCAAGGTCATGGGAGGCCCAGACATCAAGACCCGCTTCGGCCGAAAGGATGCGGAATCCTCCGCCGACTCTGTGGAATCCCAGGTAGGCCGTCTCCCAGATGGTGACAAAGAGATCGACCACCTCAGAGAAATTTTCCACCCCAAGGGCTTCACCGATAAGGACATCGTGGCCCTGTCGGGCGCGCACACTGTCGGGTCCTGCCATTTGGACCGCTCCGGCTTCGACGGCCCATGGACGGAGGCCCCCTTGAAGTTCGACAACTCCTACTTCAAGGTGTGCGCCATGCCACTTTGTGAGCCATCGTGTCCCTAACATGATACGAACCTGCTGGTTCCTTGTGGGCAGGAGATGCTGGCGAAGAAGTACGCCGAGGACACGACAGAGAAGGGCAATCCTCAGTTCAAGGACAGCGAGACTGGCACCATCATGCTCATCTCCGAAGCTTGGATGATCTTGGATTCATGATGCCGCATGACACAGCGGCTGCAGTGAGAGGTGGTGCCACCCTGTCCTTCTGGGGGTGGGTAGGGAAGGCGGGGGGGGGGGGGGGGGGGGGGGGGGGGGGGGGGGGGGGGGGGGGGGGGGGGGGGAAGGGGGTGTGGCGCGGAGACCCCGAATTCAGGATCTGGCCTTGCTGAAGGACCCCGCTTTCAAGGAGCGCGTCGCAGTGCGTCCCACAAGAATGGGGATGATGCGGAGAATCACGTGGAATCATACGTGGTATCATCAGAGCGCACGCCAGCACTGAGAGTCAGGTGCCATGTTACATGTGTTACGTGTCTCCGAAGCTGCTTCTATAGAGTGTACTCAAGGAGCACGTCGAGAAGTACGCGGCCGACCAGGCTCCGGGCAGCATCACGGAGCTTCAGTAGTCATTGCGCTTGCTGATCGCTGCTCCCTCCTACGAGTACATCAGCCCATGGAATCGATGCAATTCATTCCGTCCTATCAGGTCCTATCAGCTTGATAGGAGCATGCAGCTTAGCCATGCTGACAGGATGCATACTTCAAGGACTTCACCGCTGCGTGGGTCAAGCTGCAGGAGCTGGGCTGCTCGGGTCTGCGGGACAGCCTTTGCCACTTGGCCGCAGGGCATTACCACGAGGTACGATTTTTCTCAGGGCCGACATTTGTAAGGATGGCTGTGCTCAAACATTGCAGACCAATTGGTCTCCAAGGAGATCTGTCCATTTTCCGCTCGTCCACACCATCATCCACCTCGCCGTGAGGAGTGTGAGCAGCGATATTTCTTTCCCACCTAAAGCTGTCATCAGCTAGCAGACCAAACTCACCGCGCCCATACAACAGAGGCGAAACAATTTGCAAGGAGGGCATGTGTGCAGCCTGAGTGTTGAGCAGCAGTGCCATCTAGTTGCGGGCCCTTGAGATCTGGTGTCTTGCCTTGTTGTGTCTACTCTACTCTCTCTGAATTCTCTCCCTTCCTCCCCTCTCCCTCCCCTCTTCCTCCCCTCTCCCTCCCCTCTCCCTGCCCTCTCGCTCCCCTCTCCCTGCCATCTCCGTCCCATCTTTCCCCTCCCCTCCCTCCCTGTCTCTCTGCCTCGTATCTCCCCTTCCTTCCGGCTCTCTCGCAGTCGCGTTCCTGCTTGGTTAAAGTTTGGCCCGTGTGCTTTCTTTTCACAGCTGAGGAACCGTTTCGCGTGGATTTTGACCGTCTCTTCTCACCTTGTGGTGAGCCGAAGGCGTTTGGAGAAACCCAAATTTTCACTTAGACCCAGCATTTTCGGCCAAAACTGCATGGTCACCGAGAGTGTTGCGCTGCAGTGTCGCGGTTGGTAGGCAGAGCATGACGGCTAGCTAGCTCTTTGGCACGAGTGTTGAGGTGCCTTGAACCCGCGTGTCAGACAGCAGCGCTCTGCGATCCCTCGCCGCAGAAGTCACATCTTCGGGTTTTGCACCTCTCGCTTCTTGAGCGTTGGCTTGCAGAAGATCACAAGATAACACAGAACATCGGCGAGGACCTCTTGCAAAGTGCACAAGCCCACTTCTTAACCTTTGCCGCGCCTCATGAAGACCAGGACTATACTGCAGACAGACAACCAAATGATTTCCGGCTACCTGCGGTGATCACGATCCACCATGCATGCCTCTGAGGGCAACCGACTCATGACAGAATTCCAGCTACGGCACTAACCGACCCTCGCCATGCCTTCGATGTCGGGCTGGTTCTGTGCTGCTGCGTTGCTGCTAGTGGCCAGGGATAGTTGCATGCAGTGTTTTTTTCTCAGCACTCTCTGTTTTTCGCTAGTTGGAGGGGCAATGTGGCAACATGTGGCCTTTTTTCGGCCCCCAGAAGCGCGAGTGTCCAGAGTGTCCACAGTGTCCATCGTCTCCATAGTCGCAGGTTGGCGCAGCAGCAGTGTGCACCAGCCCCAATGACTTTGGCCGGTCTCCAGTTGGCATCTCTGCGACGCTGCAGAGCGATGGAAGAGGGAAGGCCTCCACATCGTGCAACCCATATTCTCTCAACCCGGCTTGTTGCCAAACGCCACGTTGCTCTGCAGGTGACAATTCAAGTCCTCTGTGGTGAGGATGCTGCCATGGCCGCAGCAAGGGCCGCGACTACGCGGAGACCTGCCCTTTGTTTAGAGTGTGTGTGGGTGTGGGTGTGGGTGTGGGTGTGGGTGTGGGTGTGGGTGTGTGTCTGTGTCTGCATGCGTGCGTGCGTGCACGCACGCGTGCGTGCGTGCGTGCGCGCGCGCGCGCGTGCTGTGCCATGTTGAGACACCTTGTAAATAAGCTTGAAGGAAGAATGTGAACATGTTTTGCACCGTGTGTTTTTTGCAGTGCCCTCGGCTCATCGTCAGGAAGACCGGCGCAACTAGTGGTGAGGCCTGGCGTAGACAGTGACCCTCATGGTGTCGCTGCCCACGGTTTCGGGCGAGACCTTAAACCCAAAGCCGACATGATAATCAGCCGCCTGCACTATAGATCCCTAGCCCCATGATTTCATATCTACTAACAGCATTTATGATACGATTATGCGATGTGTCTACTGTCTAATACTTCAATATCTGTATCGCTGCTTTCTGAATAAAAAAAGAATCTCCCGGGACCCCTAGTAAGCTGGCATCCCAAATGGAGAGTCACTTGGTTAGGTTTCTGTTGGCGGTTATTTGTGTGGTCGTTGTTGGCTATCTCCGAAACTGTACAAGCAGCAACATGGGTTCCTGGAGCAAGAGGGACACAGTGGGAAGTTGGGCCTCGAAAACGAATGTGTGGCTGCATGAAGCATCACGATGATTCCATACAGTTTCTGTAATACTTAGCGGTAATACTTAGCGGATTTAAAGGCTTTGTTAAGCTAATTAAAAATGTTGCTCCTAACTTGTCACTACACAAAAACCCTCTACGACCCCAATCTGTATTCCCTTGGCAAGGCGGTGCTCGCCTGCGCACGAAGCTTGTTCGAGCAGCTAGAGAAAGAGGCCGGCGAGCACACTAGCTTTCCGGAAGAGAGGAAAGCAAGATTTGTTCGAGGCTTGGGGGCCTGTGGCAGTGTTAGCTGGTGTTTAGGGTTATCAGGCATCATGGCTAGTCCTGACATCTGAGCCTTCAATCGTGTTGGACTCCAGGGTCCTGAGCCGGAAGACTCCTCACCCAATTGAACGGTTCAGGGAGTTCAGGAAGGTTTGAGGGTTGAGCGAGTTGCAGCCTTGATGCGCAGTACGGCGATATCTGAGAACTCCACCTCGAAATTTAGGCTCCTTTTGAACCCCCCATTCCAGGCCGAAACCGGCCAGATCGGGTACATTGCCCCGCAAATGCTGGATGAGGGGACACCACAGGCATTGCGGGCGGACGGGGCTTGGGTGCTATGGGAAAGGTACATGACGTGTCACTCGAATGTGAGTTCTCTGGCTAGGCATCATCATCATCATCATCAGCAGCAGTTCTCTTTATTGAATACTTCTACTTGTACATTCATTTCTTACAACTGGTTCATATGTATGTATCTTTCGAGAGCGATTGGGCTCTGGGTTCCGAGCTTCAGGCCAGGGAAACGCAGTTCGGGGGCTCGCCCTGAACCCAAAAACCCGCAAAGCTCCCAAGCCTTCCAGCTTCTGGGGCAAACGTCTGCAAATTCCCGTGATCTTTTACGACTCGACTTGTGTTTGCTTTTGGAGGGTTGAGGAGCAGGTTTTTTTGAGGGGGTTTAAGGTTTTTTCGTGAACAGGAAATCTGACTTCGAGTCGACAAAAGGGGTACCCCTCTTTTTGCCGTCTTTTGCCGTCTGGAGGAGCGATTCCGGCTCTTGAAGACGGGCGGCCAGTGAGCTTCGCTGCACTTCGGAGTACAGGGGCCGGGGTATTGCAGGAGTTGCTCGGTGTTCGAGTAGGAGAGCAGGCACACTGCACGGGCACGTTTTCAATTGGTTTCTTCTTGGCTGCCCCGCAGCCCCTGGGAAAGAAGATACACAGTCGAGTGACCAGGTCAGGTTAAGCAGGTGCAACTGAGACCCAGGACGAGAGAACCAGTAGGGGGAAAAACCTATGCGTAGAACATGTGCAAAAGGGGCAGGACAGGGGTAAAAGTCATGCCTGTAGGCATTGTTTGACAACAAAATTGGGATGCTACCTTGCGTCCCGATTTCTTGGGGGAGCCGGTGACCTTCGTCCATCTGGGAGGCATGTGTCAGTGTCTGTCTGTGAGACAGCTGCAGCTTACCAGCACCACTGCGAACCGATCGCATTTGGGGCTCCGAGGGCCCCAGGAAAATATGCGAAGTTGATCGAAGTTGCGTCACTTTGTAATCGAAGCAGAAGACCACAGGACGGAGTGAAAGCGTGCAAATTCACCGTGGCTACCACACCCGTCTACGGCTTCATCTTGTCAATCATGTGTCAGTAGCCGTACCATCAGCTTTATCATCATGCTAGTGATGATCTTCATTTTGATGATGCTGTTAACATAGGACATGGGCTCAGCATTGAGGAGAGCCTCCGATCCCCACATTTCCCAGTCCCAGGTGCTTTGGGGTTTCGACTTCCGTTGGGCTGTAATAACCCCACACATGCGAGAGTTCTAAAGTGTCAAAACCCTGAAGTGCAAGCTCTGAGTCCACTGCGGCTGCAGATGTCGAGGTTCAGCCGCAGAGCCGCAGAGCACGGCCGTCGGGAAGAGTTTGCCGAGGCCGAGAGCTCTGAACTGAGAACCTTGTTAAGGGCCTGAAGTGTCTAAGGGGGGGAAGGGGGAAGGGGGGGGGGTTGTGGAAGGTTTCGAAGTCTGGGGTGTACTGGTGCCTGGCGAGAGAAGAGAGTGTGAGCTGTTCGGTTTTCGCGCCCGATCATGCAAAGGCATGTAGTTGTTGTTCAGACAGGTTCGAGGATGCAGCAGTGAGTCAAGGAAGCGCAAGATGTGCAAGGCAATAGCAGATCTCCTGCGCGCGCTCCTGCGCCCGAACCTTGACGAGACTGCGAGAGAGAAGTCCAGACCTCAGGCATGCCCTGATGCCCTTTGCAAGCGTCCTCGCCAGACTGGGTGATACTGGGTGCAATTTGCACTTGCTGAACTTGCTCTGCATGCAGAACTCAGGCTAATGAGGACAATGATAGACTTCTTGAAGAAGGCCGTGCAAAATGCGGCTCTCGGATCAAGATCAACTGACCAACCGGAGCTTGAACACTTGAGCACAGGCAGAGAAAAAGAGGTCGAGCTCATCAGCAGACGGCGATCTTTCTGAGCTTTTCGAAGCACTGGGGATGGAAGACGATGGCAAGGCTTGCACCCTTCATCTACACCTTGCGGGATGTTCAAACTCTCCAAGTAAAATGTGCCCTCGCCATACCTAGCACTGCCTGCCTGAGCTAGCCGCTAAGCCGCGTGCCTCCGATCCGCTGTCTTGTTTGGTTTGTTTGGCCTGTCTCGTCGTGCTGCGAAATTCTGGTGCTGACGTCCGCAGGACAATGCAGACCTTGATCGGGCCGCCCTGAAGAGGCGAGAGGGGGATGGCTGGATGAAGACCGGACTTCCCATGACTTTCCGTCCTACTTGTGTTGACGTATGTATAAGCCCTCCAATCCAAAAAGAACAGCTCTTCAACAAATATTGCCGCCCCCCCCCCCCCCCCCCCCCCCCCCCGCCCCCTCTGCCCTCGAATCCCCTTCAGCCCCTGCCGCTTCCCACGGAGGACCTACCGGGAGCTCTCGAAAAAGGAGCACCCGGACAAGAACCCGGAGTCGGCCGAGCGCTTCAACATGCCAGCCGACTCAGGGAATTCAGGGCTTTGGAGCCTCTTGGGGGCTTTGCGGTGGTTTTTTTTGGGGGCTTGGTTGACAAATTTCCTGTTTGGGATCGCTATGGTCTAGAGCAGTTCGAGGAGGAGTTCAGCCGGGGCTCTGAGAACTCATGGTTTTGGGGGTTTGGGCTCATCTCTGCCAGGATCAGGGATGCTTACGAGATCCTCAGTGATCCCGTGAAGATGCTCCTGTACGACACAGGTGCCTGCCCTCTCTTTTGAAGGGTGCGCGTGCCCAGTGCGCGTGCGTGCAAAATTAGCTATGGGGGTTGTCCCTCAGACATATGTGTGTGTGTATGAGAGTGCCCAAAATGATGAATCTGTTTGCCGGCAGGCGGCATGGATTTGATCAAGAAGTACGAGAAAGGCAAGGTTTGAGGGTACACAGAAAGCCGGGAGTCCTCAGAGTCAGGTCAGTGACAGTCAGTGGCCCCCAAAACCTCAAAACCCCAATAGAGCTGTCGGGGCTCCGGGTCTCAAAGGCCCAAAAATGCGACGCCAGCCTTCCCCGACTCTCCCAGTGGTGTTCTGCACAGAGCTGAGGCTGCACTTTCAGTCTCAAGCCTTGGGACCTCTGGCAACGTCGCATAAGAACACTACACGCTGCAGTCATTGCAATGTGACCAAAACAGCCCTTACCCCGAAGGCCCCCAAACCTTGAGCTCCCATCCAAATCTGTGCACTCCCTTCAGACGGCGACGGCGAGATTGAGCGCGTGGATAACTACGAGGCTGGCCGTGATCAGCCCATGTTGCCCTCAAACAACTTCTCGTTCTTTTAAGAGCCCCAGACCAGAAGGCCATGCACCTTGAAAATCACACTTCTAGGCGCCATGGTTGGGTGATTCCGGCTTGGCATTGTCGGATCTAGACTGTCACCTGCAACGTGAACCACAACAGTGGAGGCAGAGCGGTGAGATGCTGTCCTTACCTCTTGTCAAGGTTACCCACGACATCACCTTGGAGGAAGCGTACCAAGGGGGTGAAAAGGACTGCGCTGCTGAAGGTGCATGTTAATCAAATTAATATCAAATTACATGTTTGTCACTGGCGTCCTGGCCTCAGACCTTTCGGAGCTGCTGCACTTGCGTGAGGAGATCTTGGTGAACCGCAGAGTCGTTTGCAGGCTCCCACAAGACGCCATCAGCCTTAATTATCCTGGCACACGGGACACCCTGCGAGGTCTTGCCGCATGCGACCGGATCTCCAGCGCTGCCGGAAATGTCAGGCCTGCCCTGGCGAGCGTCGGCAGCGCCAGGTCTGGATGGATCAGTGGCTTGGACTTGTAGAGAGTCTTTGTGGCAACAATAGAGTAGAGAGAGCAAACGAGGGGCTGACTCAGTTTCATCCTCCTCCTATTCCCTCTTGCTCAGGTGGCACTATCGCGTCGAGGAGTTCGAGGTACGCAACACAGCCCGCAAGAGACGGCGAGAGTGAGAGAGAGAGTGAGAGAGACGAAGAAGAGCTCCAGTTAAGTGGTGAATTCCTGCACCAAGTGTATCGGAAATCACAGCGCAGAGCCTGCCTGCGGGAATTTCCGGTTCCTGGATGTTACTGCGGTTGGGTTCTTCTACAGCTTCAGCACTGGCAGGCTCAAGAGACTGCCTGCTTCGACTTCGACAGTTGTTTAGCAATATGTCCTGTAGGGCAGCAAGCTGGTTGCCTGGACGGCTGCTTCTGTGCTTCCAGCAGAGAGAGCCCAAGACAGAGAGAAAGCAGGGGCCAGGTTCCCCCGGCAGGGGGGCCTCAAAGCTCGGAGAAGGAGAAGAAGAAGCAGAAGAAGCAGAAGAAGACGAAGAAGAAGAAGAAGAAGAAGCAGAGCAGAGGAGAGAGCAGTAGTAGAGAGATGGAGAGCGCAGTTTGCGGGCTATGCAATGCCCCACCCGAAAGTTTCGGAAGGTTCCCAGTGACGAGAAGTGCACCTGGGACCGACAGAAGCTGAAGATGCAGATCGAGCGTGGAACCATGCGCCCCAGCTCAGTGCGAAAACGTGTAAATAAAGTTCTCTTCAAAAACACTCAGGCTGAAGGGTCTCCCAATGTGTGCAGCCTAAGGTTTGGGGATCGTGCGCACTTCCCCCACATGGGGAGTCAGCTGCCCAAGCACATCCCAGGCGCTCAGCACAGAGCGATTGAGGACTAAGCAGTGTCTTCCATACGCCTTCGGGCGTCAAACAGACTTAGATGTTTTTTTAGGTTGAGGGGTTTGCAAGCTGTGAGAAAGCAAGCTAGAAAACAAACTTGTGGTTACGAGCAATCTCCTAGTGCAGCTTTTGGGCCTTTATGATCCTTTATGTTTTTTTGTGGGTTCAGAGTCCGTAGACTCTGCACGGTGCAGGCGATGCTCTTGTAACCCTGCGCGCTGCAGTCTCAGAATCTTCGGCTGTATGATGGATTTTGCGGTGCGCATATGAGCAGCATGCATGCCTTCAGTTGTTCACATGTGCAACATCCTTGTCCCTGGGTGCAGGTCAAGAAGCACCCTGTTTTCAAGCGTCTCGGTGATGACCTCATGGTCGATGTGCGTATCAGCCTGTATGAGGTGCCTCTGCTACTGCTCTTGTCTCTCTCTCTGTGTCTCTGTGTGCGCGTTTGTTTTTGCAACGCCCGAAGATGCCCGGAGAGGTTTCGATCCCGTAAAACAACCACTTAGGAAGCCGCATCTCCCTGCAGGGCTATAGTAATAGAACAAACCCTTAGCTTGGTACCTTGCGATCGCGTTGCTCCCCGAATGCTCACAAGCCCGTCAGGCTCTGCTGGGCTTCAAGCGTGAGCTCGCCCACTTGGACGGTCACATCGTGCACTTCAGCATGCCGCGGGGAGATGCCGGGGGCCTCAGAGAGCTCTCGAAGATGCCAAGTGGGCCAAGGCCCAAAGGTCTAGGATGGTTTGGAAAGTTTGGGGCTGCGATGGTTTCGAGTCGCTAGATGGTTTACACTCAATCAAAAACGCCCCTCAACCGCTAGAGGTGCTGAAACCTGGCGCAGCCCTGGAAATCCAGGGTGAGGGCATGCCCCACAAGGAGGCCGGGGGGTGACCATGGGGGCTTTAGGGGACTTGCGGTGGGTATAGAGGGGGGTGTGGGGGGGGGGGGGGGGGGTTGTAGAGATGTTTTCGGGGACTGTTTTGTGTGACCTGTGGCTTCAGTGGCTTTGGTGCACAGGTCACGAGCGAGCAGCCTGGCATTGCATCGATTTCCGAACACAAGTGGTCAAAGACGCGCCGCTGCCAGGACCCGACCTCTGCTGGGAAGCTTGTCATCCGCTTCCAAATCGATTTCCCGCAGCAGATCAGCGCAGAAGCAGGGGATGCGCTGGAGGTGCGGGCCTCTTGAGGGCTTCTACAGAAGGCTTATACCGGGATCTGTTGGACTGGATTGGAGCCTCAACCCAACATCTGCTTGCCGTATTTGTAGTGGGCTGGGTGTCTCAGCTTAAAGGCTTAGCCCTTAAACCAAACTCCATGCGACTCCCAAGCTTCGGATCCCTCCTTGTGTGCAATGACTGAACTCAAGAATTCCGAAAGAGTTCCACCAGACGCTGCGAGGCTGCCCTGGGACGCCTGCCCGGGCAACAGTCGCGAGACGTGCGCTTGAATCAGGGCAAGGCCTGGTGACTGTGCATGGACTCCAATTACTGTAGGCCTATGATTCTTAACTAAAATTCATTGGTCTGGACCGTTGATTCTGATACTTTTGCGGTTATGATTACGTTCAAATGCAACTCCCGCACTGATGATCCGCTCAGTCTGGTGACAGGCCACGGGCCGCAACGAGCTCTGAACTCCGCGGGGGCAAGTGTTTGGCAGTATGGGGAGGGGGAGTTGGAGTTCTCCAATTCCCTGCTTCCAAGCCTCGGCCACCAGATTTTCCTAGCGGTGGCCCTAAGTCTGAAGGGTCTAGGGTTAAGGGCCAGGCCAGCTGACGACTCAACTTTCCCTGCCCCCCCAGACTGTCAGAAACTCCAGTGCTTATCTTGACCGCAAGAATTAGGCGCCTAGTAGGCACAACTTCATGATGATGGCTGATTTCGCCAAGCTGCCGCCTAAACCCTAAACCCTGCTCGATAATGTGGCTCTCGTCTGGGGATCTAGCACTCCAATCTACTATGGGAGTCCATTCTTTGGGGGCCGAAGTCACCCGACCTTTGTCAGTTGAAGCAAAAGCATACTCCAAAACAAGATTACAACTTCTCCCTCCACCCCTAACCCTGAGCCCTGAACCCTATACACCCTGAACCCTAGACTACCCTAAACCCCTAAACCCAACCGTCTTATTCAGTCATTCCCACTCGGAGAAGCGAGTCGCATCTCGCTGTTCGGGGCTGGCGCTGGGTCAGTGGCAAAGTTGGCGCTCTTTCAGATGACTCAGAAAGTCTGGCAAAGGAGGGGTTCAGGGCTTCGGTGCATGTAGGGATGTGGCGAGAAGTCGGTTTCGGGGTTTTGAAAGCCAGGATCCTCAATGTTTTGAAGATTAGGAGCCAGCAAGCAGTCTGCATCCCGAGCTCAAAGAGCCACCAGACAGCGCCAGACTCCTGCGGCTGCTGCGTGCCATCCCACATGCCGACTCTAGGTTTGGGTAAAGCAGCACGCGCCCCCAAACTCCGGAACCGCACCCTATAGAGCCTTGAACGGCGCCAAGAGAATCTTGGACCGGATGGCGCAGCTTCCCGGAAAGCCGAGCCAAAGCGCAAGCACCAGAAACCTCGAAGCCATTGCGCTGAGAAACGCTTTTGCCCAGCGGGCTGTATTCGGACCCATGACCTTTAGGATCCTTTAGGGGGGGCAGAGGCTGCCAAGGCGCCAGAATCCTTTGTCTCCCGCCCAGTCTTGGCGAGGCGAATGCGTTGACGGTGCTACTTCAAGGATGCTTCATCGAAGAGGAGCATGGATCTTGGAACCTATGACTGCCTATGTGCCTGGATGTCACTTCGCTCGCTACCCAAGGCTTGAGACACAAGTGCTGCAAGCTCCACTCGCGCTTGGCGAGGCCGTTTGTCGGCAGTACTTGGTTCAGAACCGACAAAGCGCTTTTGTGGAGGCCGAGTTCTTGGGAGTTGCCGAACTGCCCGTGCGAGAGAAGCGGCGCTTGCGAGCAGTGGATGGCGACTGCCTGGTCAAGGCGACTGATGCGGGTTCTCGTAATCAACGGGATGTCCGTCCATGCTTCGCATATCAGAATGCTGTTCTTTGATTGCATGGTGCAATGCTGCGACGCTGCACAGGTGATCCACCGAGACGATTTCCAGCCCCTCTGATGCATCTGTCGAAAGACCCTTGCGATGATTTTGTGCCATTGCCACCTCACGCCTCAACCAGGCAAGTTGCCCCCAAACAACCCTTAACCGTCCTCGGACTGGATTGCAGTCTCTGTCCAGGTCGGCCCTTCAGAGATTCCCGGAGGAGGCCAAGGCGGGGCAAGAGCATGGGGTTTCCTGTTGCTGAAGCTGGATCGCACTGGCCATCAGACTGCGGTTTAACACTTCAGGCCGCTGCTCAACTGTCTATGCTGTAGCACTCTCTTGCTTTTGTGCTTGCAAGATGGAGGACGCATCGGAGGGTATGAGGTTGATTTTGGATCCTGGCTCGCTGCCCAGCCCAGTCAGGTCTTCGACCGTTTCCTCCGAGAGGCTTCGCGCTTCGCGGTGCCCGGCGCGCCATTTGCTCGGGTTCAGGCCCGCATTGCTCCGTGCTGCTTCAAGAGCTTTGGGCTTTGGCGGTTTAAAGTTGGTTTGAGGGTTTGAGGCATGAGCGGGGAAGCGGCAGCTGCAGCGACTTTGGCGGTTCAGCTACTCACAAGTAGAGGGCGCTGTATGGTAGTGTAGCTTGCTGCCAGAATCGTCTTTCAAGTACTTGACATCGACTTGAGAAACCTCGTAAGTCTGATTCTTACGTTCTTTCCCTCCCCAGATGCCTGGGAGGAAGCTGCTGGGCGAAGGATACTGGCCTTCCTCGAAGCCGGGCGCGAGTTTCAGCACTGCCAGAGGGACTTCCTGGCCGCGCTCTGCGCCGAAGCCGAGGGAGTCCTGCTGGCGCCTGGCGAAATCCTCCAAGCCTCGGGCCGGCCGTGCGCCACCTGCCCGTTGTTCATTGTCCTGGCTGGACGGGTTGCTGGGCTGCTCTAGTACTAGTCCACAGAACCTAGCACCTGCTACGAAGCAGAGCAGGGTCATGCAGGGTCCTTGAGAGAGGATGGGAAGCTCAACGGGCTGTAGAGAAGTTCTTCTTAATACTGAATTTGGGGGCTCCAAAGCTGCTGAGGTGCAGGTGGAGGACGAAGCTGGCATCGTGTTCCGCTTCGCTGGCCCTGGGGAGACCTTGGGCTCTCCTGGTTGCCTCGAGCTGGTGGACACCTCCCCGGAAGTTCTTCGGGCCGTCCCAGGCCAGGATTTCGGGTTTAATTGCTGAGCCCCTGTAAAGAGAAGTTTTGCCGTCCGGAGCGTTCCCGCGTTTATCGGAATAAGGGTTGTCGGCTTCATTCCTTCCTTATTTTCCTTTCTGTGCCTCTTAAAAATTCACGAGGCGAGGCTGTTTGGAGATTCAAGAGAGCGGTACGCGGTGTCGATTCCTGTCCCAGGCAACCTGGGTCCGGCCTTCTGCGTCAAGGTCCCGCATGCTGCGGTCGGCGGGGCTTTGCAGACCTTCCCTGAGGACGCCGACTTCTGGATCAAGAACGCAGAGCTCCTGCATCGTGAGGCTGGACCCCAGCGACCCACGCCGACCTGTGCTCCAAAGCACGAAGCTCTGAACTTTGGAGAGTTGGGCCACTGTCAGGGCGGGCGGTTTAGGGTACTGGGAGTGTGTCTTGGGATCGCAATCTGCTTCAACTTACAAATCAGCTTGCGCCCCCAGAGGCGTGTCGCAGCAAGCAGGAGCGGTGCCGGTGGGCTTCGCAGGCGACTATCAGAACCCTAGCTGTGCAGAGCAGAAGCTAGGTTGTTTCTCTCACGGTCACAGGCCTTAATGAAGCATGTTGTGCAAATTGTCCATATTAATCCATATTATAAATTATAAATGTTGATCAATTGGTGTCTATATATACTTGTGATGTTGATGTGTGTGTGTGTGTGTGTCTCTCTCTCTCTCTCTCTCTGTATCCCTCTCGGTATGTTTCTCCAGTTTCTCAGCACTCCAGCCCAAACCCTCATTCTGATTTCTTATGAGATATGAGAGCCATCAGCAATTTCCTACTTGTATGATGGGACCGTGGGCAGGGCCTGTACGCCTCATTAGGTGGCCACCCTTGTTTGCAGGTAAACCGGGCAAACTGAGCCTTAGATGAAAACATGTGCCATGGAGTGACAAGCCAGGGTGCACGCCCGATGCGAATAACTGCATGGTGTTTTGTTTCTTTCCCCTCTCTCGCTCTCCCTCTCTCGCTCTCCCTCTCTCGCTCTCCCTCTCTCGCTCTCCCTCTCCCTCTCTCGCCCTCCCTCTCTCGCTCTCCCTCTCTCGCTCTCCCTCTCTCGCTCTCCCTCTCTCGCTCTCGCTCTCCCTCTCTCGCCCTCCCTCTCTCGCTCTCCCTCTCTCGCTCTCCCTCTCTCGCTCTCGCCCTCCCTCTCTCGCCCTCCCTCTCTCGCTCTCCCTCTCTCGCTCTCCCTCTCTCGCTCTCCCTCTCTCGCCCTCCCTCTCTCGCCTTCCCTCCCTGCTCTCTCGCTCTCTCTCTCTCTCTCTCGCTCGCTCTCTCTCTCTCTCTCTCTCTCTCTCTCTCTCTCGCTCGCTCGCTCGCTCTCGCACGCATGGACCAATGACGAGAAGGGTAGAGAAAGACAATCGCCAATATTTGAATCGCTCAAATGTCGCGACGGCTTCGATTCGCGCATCCGCTCTGAGAGGATTTGGCGCCTCACAGTTTTCCAAGTGCCACTTCTGCCTCAGTCCCGTGCGCATGTCCCAACCCCCTGATTGGGACTTTGCGGTGCGCCGTCCTGGTCTTGCGCTCTTCAACACTTTCAGGGTCTACGCTGGAGGGCGTGTTTTGCATAGCTGACGGTTGGAGATGAATGGTAATTTGTTGTCTTAAGCTCCACAGTAAGCTCCCTAGACCCCCTGATCGTAAACTCCCTCCCCTCCCCCCTCGCAAAAAAAGAAAAAGGAAAAGGAAAAGGGCATAGACAACACAAGCAAGAGGGCCTCCTACTAAAGCTTATATGAAAGGTTGCCGGAGCAGTGGACAGGTGGCCGCACCGGCCCTGGGAAATACTTCGCTGCTGGCGGGCTGCCCCCAAGACTTCCTCACCTCTCTGGCGGGCCAGCTCTCTGAGGCCACTTTGCAGTTGAAAGGAAGGGTTTAGGGCCGTTCATGGTGGGTTTTGCAGGGGTTTGAAGGGTTTGAAGGTTGTGTAGGGTTTAGGGTGCCTGCAGGGTTGACATGGGGGATCTAGGGCTTTTGAGTTTAGTGGAGTCTGCAAAAAGGGTTCGAGGCTTGTAAACTTGTAAACTCTTGGGTTGGTTCGGAGGAGTCCTTGTTGGACTGGATTTTGGGCTTCTTCGGTATTGGATGTTGGGCCTTTGTTGCGCTTAGGGTTCGCAGGCTTAACCCACCGCGCTGCCGTTGCGCCGCTACTCCGCTTTTCAGGGGCTCAGGGGTTTGGGGTTGAGGGTCGGTGTAGTGGCGCATCCGTTCAATCCCTGACGGCGGGGAGGGGCCCAGGGCAGCACGCCTTTAAGGCTGACAGGCAGAGTCGATACGTAGCAAAAAGGTGTTTTTGATGACCGGTACAATCCGCGGAAGACCCTAAAACTGCTCGCAGGTGGCGTTCTCGGAGGGAGAGGAGATTTTTACGTGCAACACCCGCGGAAACTCCATGATGATCGTGCTGGAGGCCAGGCTCTGCATGGCTCACCATGATGGAAACCGGGACTTTCACTTCAGAGGGGTTGTTTGAAAGTTGGGCCGTAGAGAAGCTGGCCATTTGGGGGGACGGTTTTCTAGAGCCGTCTTGCACGAAAACCAACAGTCTGCATGGCCTAGCTCCACCACTTGCCAAACCATGGCTGTGGCGGTTTATTGCGATGCAGACAGCGCTTGGACTCCAAAAGCACCTGGTGCGCATGCCTGTTGTGCACTGGGCCGTCACGGTGTCGGTCAAGAGGGAACCGCTTCTTGAGCACGCTGCAACATGGCTGCGGTACATGCTGCACCACTTGCACGGCTTTGTAATTTCACGTCGGAGGTGAATGGTTGTTTGGTGGACTGCCGGCATCGCTATGCTGTTGTGTGTAGTATGTCCAGCACTCGACAGCACGCAGCCAGGCAAAAACCGTAGTCAGCGCAAAAGGAACCGCTTTTTGAGCATGCTTGCGTGCACTGTGATTCCAGCGGGCCGTTTCGCTGCAACATGGCTGCGGTACATGCTGCACCACTTGCATGGCTTTGTCATTTCACGTCGGAGGTGAATGGTTGTTTGGTGGACTGCCGGCATCGCTATGCTGTTGTGTGTAGTATTTCCAGCACTCGACAGCACGCAGCCAGGCAAAAACCGCAGTCAGCGCAAAAGGAACCGCTTTTTGAGCATGCTTGCGTGCACTGTGATTCCAGCGGGCCGTTTCGCTGCAACATGGCTGCGGTACATGCTGCACCACTTGCATGGCTTTGTCATTTCACGTCGGAGGTGAATGGTTGTTTGGTGGACTGCCGGCATCGCTATGCTGTTGTGTGTAGTATTTCGAGCACTCGACAGCACGCAGCCAGGCAAAAACCGCAGTCAGCGCAAAAGGAACCGCTTTTTGAGCATGCTTGCGTGCACTGTGATTCCAGCGGGCCGTTTCGCTGCAACATGGCTGCGGTACATGCTGCACCACTTGCATGGCTTTGTCATTTCACGTCGGAGGTGAATGGTTGTTTGGTGGACTGCCGGCATCGCTATGCTGTTGTGTGTAGTATTTCGAGCACTCGACAGCACGCAGCCAGGCAAAAACCGCAGTCAGCGCAAAAGGAACCGCTTTTTGAGCATGCTTGCGTGCACTGTGATTCCAGCGGGCCGTTTCGCTGCAACATGGCTGCGGTACATGCTGCACCACTTGCACGGCACGGCTTTGTAATTTCACGTCGGAGGTGAATGGTTGTTTGGTGGACTGCCGGCATCGCTATGCTGTTGTGTGTAGTATGTCCAGCACTCGACAGCACGCAGCCAGGCAAAAACCGCAGTCAGTGCAAAAGGAACCGCTTTTTGAGCATGCTTGCGTGCACTGTGATTCCAGCGGGCCGTTTCGCTGCAACATGGCTGGTACTGCTGCACCACTTGGCACGGGAGTTCATAAAGGTAAAGAAGGTCGGTGTGGACTGTCGCATGAGCTTACAACCACAGGTGTGTAGTATCATTTCCAACGCGCAACCAAGCAAAACCCGCAGCACAAAAAGACGGGTCTTTAGAGCATGTAGTCTGCGCATGCCTGATCCCAAGCTCCCCAAGCTTGAAGACTACACTACCGACACAAGGGCTTCGTCGAACTGCACGCCAAGTCCGGCAGGGAGGCTCGATCTGCGCTTCTCTGCTGCGAGTTCGAACTTGTAGAACGAAAAGCATACAAGACAGCCTCTTAATTAGGACGTTGAATGGTTCACAAGAAATGGAAGCTCAATGAGTCCCTGGACTTTGCGGCGAGTGAAAATCGGCTTTTGACTCATGAAGTGTTGCGATGCGCAGCCTCGCATCAGATCGGATGCGTTGGCGCCGGCGCCGTGATCGGCGAGCCAGAGGCAATGGCGTTCATGTTGCGACTTACGGGGTGTATACCACGTCGACACTCAATGCTTGGATCGAATACCTGCTACCATCCTGCAGTAGGTTTTCTCAGGAAGAAGCCGCCACTCGATATTGCAACCTGTCCATCCTTGGCACTTGTGAGGTGTAGGGATATGTAGGGATATGTAGGGCCAGGGCCCCGACTTGCAGAGGGAACCCGAAACCCCGAAGTCCGAAGGGTCGAGGAAGCCCACACGTTGGCCCTCTTTGGGTTACCAGGGTGTCCTTTCTACTGCCAAATTCAAGCCTTACGAAGGGTGCTCTGTCAGCATACTAGAGGCCAGGAAATTCTTGAAAGCAGAAATCCCGGGAAGGCCTTGGGCTTGCTCTCCTTCCGGACGGCCACTGCTGGGCCCCGAGGGCTGATGGTCATAAAAACTCTCAGAACAAGGATAACAGACGCTATCCACTAACATCTACGGACATCCACAAATATATCTTCGACTGGTGCCACCCGGGCTGGGTTGGGGCATGTTGGGGATGAGGCTGTTGCAGTGACCGCCTGCCGCATGCTGCCCGTGAGCTTCGAGGTGCGTGAAGCGAAAGCCGTGGGTAATGTTTCTACATGTCAGCCGAAGAACCCGAAACCCGCAGTAAGCCCCCCAAACCTCGGAACCTGAAGTCCTTTGCTGGAAGGCCTTGACACAGGCGCTGTTGACTCCATCAGCAGCTGCACTGAAGGAGGCCTGGGCTAACTACGTGAACGCTCATTTGCCAACACAGCCATAGCAGGAGTGAGGATATTGAGGGCGGATGAACGTTAAGGCCCAGTCCAGGTATGTCCAGGTTCAAGTTTTCTGACTCGCCTCGCAGCATTGGCAGCCATGGTCGAGGATGTAGCTCAAACCCGGGAACCTGTGCAGCATGCCTACATGCCACAGACCCGAATGCCCGACCGAAAGCCACCTCCACTCACTCCGCCCCAACTGCGTCGCTCAATCCGTTGAGCTGCTGCCAGGGTTTCAAGCAGCTTGTCGAAGGCCGGCGATCGCAAGCCACGTGCTCAGAGGTTAGGGAACAAAAACTCCAGCAATGACGTGGCGAGGTGGGAGCCTGAACCTAAACCATATAAACCGTAAAGCCGTGAAGAATCATGGGTTTTCTTGCCACCCATGGACATAGAAGCTGCCTATAGGGTTAAGAAGTACAGACACTTGACGTGCTCACATCTTACCCACAGCCTGCTGCGGAGTTCAGGTGTGTGGGCAGAGCATTTAACCACGCCATGACTCCATGTTTCAGCTCGCTCTCTTCGCTGTCATGATGTACCGCATCACCCGCCTGCTTGGGCTGTGGTGCTAACGATAATGTGGCATCAATCACAACATTGGCGCCTTCGACAACTTCGATAGCCACAGACCATACTGTCCACGTGGGGGGGGGGGGGGGGGGGTTGACGGAAATCGCCGGTGGATGCAAAGTCTGCATGGATGATGCCTCCAATGCAAGCATCGTCCAGGCCGTGCGAAAGTCATGCAAACAACAGGTCCACATCACTCCAAATCATTCCAAACAAGAGAGCCCTGCTCGGCGTTCGAGGGTTGAACCGCTCGATATTGAGAGCCCATTGAAAAGGCAAGCATCTTGCCCCCACGATGCGTCTTCAGGTCCGTGAAGGTCTGCCTCTGTCGGCCATGCTCAACTTACGCACGTCTCTGGATGAGGAGCCGCTCCCTCCCTAACTGGGTTCACGATGGTTCACGTCTCAGTGATTCATGATGGCGAATCTAATGAATCTAAACCCCAAGCGTTCGACAAGTTTGTCTGAAACTCTGAGCTTGGAGGACGTTGGGGCGCAGCTTCTGTGCTTGCGGGCCGAGCGTTTGCCGCTCGAGCACCTCGGCACCTTCAAGGTTTTGAATGCAGTCCCACGCTTCAAGGCTTCAACCCTGCCCTACCGAGGACCTAGGCCCTACTTTCAGTTTGCCACGCAAGATTCCGCGAAGAAACCAAGCATAACGAAACTTGATCGATGTCTTCCACAAGTTCCCACAAACCGCACAGGAAGCCTTCTAAGATCTTTAAGCGCGCTTGAGGCATGGCGTCTGTTGGCATCCGGTGGCGGACTCCAGCGAATCCGGGCCCAGGGTCTCGCTTATCGTGCCCCTGGGCTTGAACTTCAACTCCGAGAGAGCTGCTGAGATGCTTATCGAGTGCTACACTTACCAAGTACCCAAGTACCCTTAGGGTCGTGACAGGGGTTAAAAGGTGGCTTAGTATCTGTGTCAGGCGGGTGTCGATTTCGAAGCTTCCGTCATGGCTCTTGCGCCCGCTCCCAGGCGCGGGCGAGTCTCGATGGAAGTGGGGCGCCGCGAGGGTGAACCCTTGGACTTCCATGTCAGGCGCCAGAGCTCAGTTTCCACGGTGTCACGGCATTTTTGAGAAGCGGGTGGGGGGAAGGAGGGGTTTTGGACAAAAAGGAGAAAGAAAAGATTAAAGAAAAAAGGCAGGGCCCTTCGTTGTTGTCCACTGTTGTTGTTCCTCGCTTGCGATTTTGTTTTTGGGAGGGGGCTTTGCGATTCGGTTTTTGGGAAGGGGTTTTGTTCCGAAATTGAGGGACGCGGTCACGGTGCTTGCGATTTGCTATTTGGGAAGGGATTGATTCAAAAACTCTAAGGGGCACGGTGCTTGCGATTTGGGATTTGGGAAGGGACAGTTCCCAAAATTCAATCGATTTGCTATTTGGGAAGGGATTGATTCAATGACTCATTTTGACACGGTTCTTCCCTCACCCCACATACGCAACCTCCGTCCCTAACAACCTAATAACCCCACTTCTTCCCCAATGAAATTGCGTGTGTGTGCAGTGTCCATGTCCTGGCAAGGCCGGGTTCGGTGGTGCCTGAAGGCATGCTCGTAGGGAGCCCAGAGGGGAACATCAAGGGGCTTCTTGGGGGTTTCTGCTGTTTTTTCTATATTCCTCGCCGCGCAGGGTACTAAGAATACATCTCTCAAGCTGGAAGTCGACAATTCGGGCCGAAAGCAACCATCAAAATCTCTCAGCACCCATTGGCTGCATTATCGTTAGGAAACCACGTGTTGAACCTCCAACTAAGTCTCGCGTATTGTTTTGGATCCTCTCGTGCAGTGTCATGCAGCAGTTGCCCTACCCTCAACCCATGACCGAGCAGAGGTGTCTTCACATGGTGTCTCTGTTTTCAGACCAACCTCCGGGGGCTGCCTTGTTGTTGCTGCACCCTAAGTGCATCAGACCCTCAAGTACCGAACTTAACAGCCTCGAGGCCACCCATGGCGCTTATCTGCGCGCCATGTCCAGCGACTGCGAGGCCGGCAGCGGACGCTCATTGACCATCAACATAACGCAGTGATTCAGTTTGGGCATTGTCGGGATCAGGGTTCAGGTGGGTTCAGGCTTTAGTAGGTGCCACCCTGAAGGTCTACCGCATCTGGCAATACGATCTCCTTCAGGCAGCCCACGTGGGTGCCCAGGCTCGGAGGGGTGTTCAAACTGTTCAGCACCGAATCCCTGAAAATTCTGAGAGTCCTCTCTGCTTTAAATACTGTGGCACAGCTACCACCTGGCCATGTCTTGCCCATCCTTGAATCTTGGGTACCACCTCTGCTTTGACTCAATAGGCCCATGATTGGTTCTACCAGCTTCGGGTGCTGGAGAAGGAGGCCCGATCAGATTGCGAAGCTTCGAGCGATCACCAGTTGTATTTGAGGCAACTTTCCGGTACGACTGACTAGCTTTCGTCCTGCAGCTGCGCTCAGACATTCATAGCCGCAGCCAGGACCGCATGCTTCGGAGTGCTCCTGTTTCATTCCTGACTCCAGCAAGCCCCTGTGTTTCGGGCGAACCCGGGTGAGTCAGCTGCGCAAGATTCCTTGCAAGCACTTCTTGGGTATCGCCGGCGCTACGTCTGCAAATTGAGCCTTTTGTCGACTAAAGCAGAAAGCTTCGCCCCTTTAGAGGTCGCAGGTCAATTTCGCTCGGAATTCGTCTGATACGACCATAACCACCTCATCAGATAGGTTGCAAACTTTAGGATTTCAAGTTTGGGGCTCACATGCGCCGACAAGTCATTGAACCAGCACTTGCCCAGATAGGAACGACAGTGCAGCCTCCCCTGGGCGATCCAATCGGAACGCCCTAGAAGCCTTTAAAGCCCCTAAACCTAAGCCCTAAAACCCCCAAAACTTCAGCCCCTTAAGCATCCTCAAGCCTTCTTAGAAAGCGCCTTCATCTTGGGAAGACCCGGGCCTGGCTGGAGACGAAGCTGGTGAGCGCCCGCGGCCAACTGCTGGGCAGGGCGTCGGGGATCTGAGCTCTGGGGGTTTGGGGGTTTGGGGTTTAGTGGGTCGTTTCGGCTCAGGGTTGGGGAGGGTTTAGGGTCCAGGGGGTTGATCTGAAACTACATCATGGACCAGCCGCCCCTGTTTTGGTCTTGCCTTCAGGGCTTTTGGGATTGATGTTTGGGTTTGAGTCACTCGTTTGGGGTGCAGGGTTGTGGTGGCGGCGTGTTTTTCGGCGCTTGCGTCACTATTCGAGCTCGCCTTTGGTCCACTCAAAGATCCAAAGCCATCAAGCCTTTGAGGCACTCAGCTCTTGCAGATTGCTCTTGAGGCCACACCCCACTGACAAGCAGATCCGGGGCTGGGCCGACAAGAAGAAGGAGAGCCTCAGGCCTGGCCAGTGATTCTTGGGGTTCTTGGGGGCGTGCAGCTCCTGACGCTCCCAACCCGCGTGGGCATTTTCTGGATCTGCGTCAGCTACAACGATAAGGGGCCCTATTCTATCAAGCAGTCTCACCCAACTCTTCGGCCCCAAAGAAATTCCGAGTGCCCGTGCACACAGGAGTTGCACTTAAGTCTCCCAGCCCCCATGAGCCTTGGGCGCAAGCTGTTGACCAGGCGCGCCCGCGAGTTGCAGGAGCAGTTCGCCGAGAATTACTTGGGGCCGCTGCCTATGTCGGCATTTCGTGGATCATTTTCAGGGCTTTCGGTCGGGGGTTTGAGGGTGCACTCACTGTAAAGGGGCATTCGGAGGCTAGGGATTAGAAGGCAGAAGTGGTGCAGGAGGCCAGGAGGTTCGGGTTCGGGGCTGGTGCAAAGGCTCCTGGAGTATCCCTAAATCCAGCGAGCACGCCCATCAGCTCGGGCACCCCTGCAGACGTGCCCCAACCCTCAACCATCTTCAACCCCAAAGTTTAACGACCTTCTAAACTTACAACAACCCTAAAATGGTAAATAACATAAAGTCCTCAGAAACAGTTAGGCCGTACTAGCACGCCAAACCAAACCCTAAAGATTGAACCGACGCCTTGCACGCCTTCAACCGAGGCCCAAGTTGCCTCTGCTACCCCCGAAGAATCAGAAGCTGGGAGCCACGGCCAGCGCCTCTGAAGACGTTGAGGGGTTGAAAGGTTCAGGCATGTTAGGGGTTGAGGTGTTCGGGGTTTGGGGGTTTAGAAATATGATCGTCGTTCTCCATCTGCTTCCTTTGGACTTGGGTTCAGGGTTTAGAATCGGATGTAGGATAAGAGTGGGGCATTCAGGGTTGAGACTTCTGGGTTCTGGATCTGGTTTCAATTACTGATGGTACTCATGGAGGAACCAACCATTGGGTTTCTGCTCTCAGGACCTTAAAGGTTTGAAAGCCCGTTGAAGGTTTGGGGGCGGAGTCGTGACTTTCTTCGGAGAACTGGCAGGTCTTGGTGTCCGTAGACGGCTGCGTAGCTGGGGCTTCATTGGAGAATAAACGCGAATACAGCAGCCAAGGGCCAAGGGCTCAGCTCTCCGAGTTTTGGTATCCAGGGGTGCATGTCTAGGGTACAAAGCTTAGGGTGGCCACTTACTCACATGGGAGGCCTTTCGCAGCTGGGGCGCTTTGCCGGGCAAGGCGATGCCGAAGAGGCGGGATCCGGTTGTTCAGGGTGTCGTGGCTGAAAAGATGCAGGCTTACCGTGCCTAAGGTGCACAAAAAGCCGTCTGGCGTGCTGTAGTTACTAGGTTTTGCCAGCCGACACTTTCTTGCAATATTGTGCAGATGTTGAGTGCGGACACTCCTTGAAAGGCCACCGACCAATTTCCCTGGCTGCTGGCTCAGAAGCATGCAGCTGTTGGGTCGAGGTTTAGAAGTAGCATGTGCTGCTTGCAAACAGGACAGCCTCCCATCCTTTTATGTATGGCAGCACGGTACCCACCGTCGCTTCCGGTTCTGAGGCTTTCCACCCAGATGGTGAAGGTCTCATAAGTCACATGCTTTGCTCCTGTATCTACTGGGCAGAACAGTCAGAACAGGCCTCATGGAATCACTAATCATCATTAATCCGTGCAAGCGCATGCACAAAGGCAACGCTGTGTTTTTCTTGGCCGTTTTGTGTTCGTGGCATCGATCGACAAGCTCACTCCTAACCGACCAAGTATCAGCTTCGTCGGCTGTCGCCAAGCAGCATAAACAAGACATGCTTGATTTCTGACAATACTTTTGATCGGTTGTAGTTGCTTTTGATGCCAATGAAGCTGAGCAACTCCTCGGGTTTGAGAGGTAGTTCGGGTTGTCAAGTCATTGTCCACGGTGGGCTTGAGGTGCAGCTTTTTACGAAAAAGGCAGCACGCACCCCCAAGTTCCCCAAACTCAGAACGCCAGAAATCGTAGCCGTATGAATCGCGAACCTCATCAGCCCCTTGTAATTGAGGTCCGGAAGCCTTCCGTGCCTTGAAGCTCTCCAAGGCCTAAAGTCTGATCCCAGGGGCTTTTGAGTGGCTTAGCAAGTTGAAGGCCTTTAGCTCTGCTTCGTTGCATTTTGGCGACAAGCTAAGGGAGCGCAGAAAATCACAGGGATCCTTGATAAAGACTTGAAGGTCCTTGCTGGGCTTGAGACATCGGTGGCAGGGTTGACAGGGTTTGCATGCGGTCATATACGACAGTCACCATCCCCCCGCCCCCCCCCCCCCCGCCCCCCCCCCCCCCCCCCCGCCCCCGCCCAGGCCACCCCCCCCCGCCCCACCCCCCGCCAGCACAGCAGACGAGCCTGTCTCAGCACAATACCTTTGGGACTGCAGAATAAGCAGCGACCCCTCGTAATCCTTGAGCCCCAGAAGGCCCGAAAACCCTAAAATCCTCATTGCCAACCACATATCTAACTTCTCTGGTGCCTTCATAAAAAAATAGGGGGGAGCCCAGCAGTGGCTGGAGGCCAAGTCCGAGCCGCGGCTGCCTCCAGCCTGGCCCAAGGCCCCCAAACCACGGCGCAAGCGCGAAGGCCGTGGTTCCATGGGAGTCGGGTCGGCTCTTCCCAAGTTGCCAGGCGGAGGTTTAGAGGGTTGAGGGTTGAGGAAGTTAAGGAAGCTTAAATCTTTATAGGTGAGAGAAGTGCAGGGGAAAAGTTGGTAAGGGGTGGAGCTGTTCGACCGAAGCTCCTAGTAGTGGTCGGCGGGTTCCTGGGTGGTATCTTTCTTGAGGTGCAGATCTCGTGGAGAGCCCGGCGCAAAAGTGTGAGTCCGACGCAGGAGACCCCGAAAGGTCTGCCAAGGCAGGGCAGGTAGGCTAGGCCAGCAGGCTAGGCCAGCAGATGGCCCCCTTTCCGTTTCACCACCATTGCACATCGGGCTTCTGATTCTGTGGCCTTCTGGGAAAGCTACCAAAAGAGAGGCAGCCCCTTGCAACCTGCGAAATCTTCATCTAGCCCGAGCCTCCAAAGCCTGAACAAAACTCCGCACCCAGATTCAGCAGCCTGTCACATGGCTCCTGCCCACAACTTGGGCCAGAGTGGTTAACGCCCGGAGCATCGAGCACGTGTCTGCGCTCGAGCTTGCATCGCTGTTAATGATGCGGGGTTCATTCATGGGCAGTTCAAAGTAGGGGTCATCAGCACCTGAATCGTGGCTTGGAGCTGGATCCTTAAACATCGACTGCTCTGTAGAACTACCCATCAAACCTCCGAGTAGGATTCGTTATGAAATTCATTGCATGTGCGTGTGCCGGTAGTGCCAGTAGTGCCAGAGGTGTACAGGACGCGCGCTCATCATGGGATGGCACGTGAAAGGTGCAGCACGCCAGCGTTGGGAGGCACCCGGGGATGGACGGAGGCTGCAAGGTGACAGCGCCACCTCGAGATCGGAAAACCTGGATTCAAAAAAACCCTAGCTGAACTCCGAGAGCCTGTAAAGACCTTGTAAACACCGTAAGAATCTGCTCCCCCTACTCCCCGAACCCTTAACATATCATCTCACAATGAAAGGAGTTGACTCGTAGCGGTCCGAGTCCTCGAGTCCTCGTGCGAGTACGCAGCTCAAGGGTGGGGTCGCCGTGTGGCAGGAAGACCTCGTCAGAAGCCCAGAGGCGGTCAAAGGAGAGAGCTAATCAAGGTTTGGGGGGGGCCTTTCTGGGGGGCTTGAGGCTCTTGAGGCTTAAGAGCTGTTTAGAGTTGTGTGGTTGTGTTGAGCTGCAGGGGGGGGGGGGGGGGGGGGACTTCTGTTGGTGTCGCCAAGTTTCTTTGGCTTGATTGCGAGGGATTCCCCTAAGCTGCCCTAAATCCCTCGTCATCAGCTGCCGATGCTACAGCCCTGTGTCGAAAAGACCCAAACGTCCCAGGGCGAAATGGCTCGGCGAGCGCGAAGCCGGAGGGCGCAGCTTGCGCTGGTTGCTGTCGCAGCTGTCCGGGGCTCGGCTTTTAGTTTTGAGCCGGGTCTTGGCGACCAGGAGAGGTCCGAGTCGGTCCCCAAGTGGGTCTAGAAGGTGTTCCGCGTGGTCTTTGTTTCTTGGTAAAGCTCGATTTCGCCCCGAAGCCATTAAGGTGCAGAATCTTCAAAGCACGTGCGCTGCATTGCTGTCTGGAGGGTCTACTGTTGGGCTTCCGGAAAGCGAAGCCCGACAGGCGCCCACCCTGGCTTGACCGGCTTAACCTGAGGCTGTGGCCAGCTGGCAGTCGAGTTTCGTCTTTGCAGGCCAAGCTCTTCCCGGGTTAAGGAGGTCCTGTGAGGTTAGGGTAGGGTAGGGTCCCACAAGGTGGCCGGAGCCATTTCCTTCCCCTCAACCTGAAGCCCCTAGACCCCCGAGGCTCTAGCCAAACGGTCTCAAGCCATCCCCGCGGCCTGTGCTCTCTCGACCAGGCCAGCCAGCGTTGCAGGCTTCCCGAGAGCCAAGTGTCTCGAGAGAGGCCCGTTCCAGTTGTCTTGCCCCAAGTTGAATCGGCAGGGGCGTTATAGCACAGATAAGTTTTAGCTTTGCTGACATCATCTGTGTTAACCTTACTCAACTTGTTGCTACGTGAGTGCTTGCTTGTCGTTACAGTACCATTATATTTCTAGTTACATGTTTGCTGATGCTGAGGAGCCGGGCATGGTACGCATTGTAGAACATCCCAGTTTCTGGCAACCGGGTGCTTTTGCTGCTAAAGTTTTTGCTACTCGTAGTTGCTACAGTTTTGTGCTGTCGACGTCTTGGGGTGCCAATCCGGGAATGTGTGGAGGAGTTGAAAGCAGAAATGCTATCAGATACTCATACAGGCGGCCAAGAAGATCTCCTTCAGGGAAGCTGGACAACAGAAGCGCCACGGCAGCATTTCTATCGTGTCGCCTGTGCGATGTACCGCGTTCCATCCCGGACAACGTTTCAGGATAAACGTGATTAAACGTGGTTAGAAGCAAAGGAAGAACAAGTTCATGCATTCTAGCGGGCAGACCCATTCGCTCAGGCTCCAGGCCGGAATCAATGCCGTGACAAACGCGGTCAAGGTGACCCTGGGACCAAAGGGCCGCAACGTGGTGCTCCAGAGAGAGTCGTTCCAGGCCGGAGAGTCTACGCTCTTGCACGCCCAGCTGCGTCACGCATTCCCTTGTTCGGTGCAGGTTCCTCAGATCGTCAACGATGGAGTCACCATTGCCCGCGCAATTTCACTGCAGGCTCTTCGTAAGCAATCTTTTGAATTCATGTGACGGTTGCATTGAGGCAGGCCTCACTGCTTGCTGTAGCAGCTAGCAGCAGCAGGGGGGTAGGGACAGGGTGCCCTCGACTTGGCCTGGAGCATGGACAGGACAAAGAGATGAACCTTGGCGTGAAGCTCCTTACGCAGGCGAGGGGGGTTTGCAGTAGCAAGTGAATCCTGAGGCCACTCCAACCCGCAAACGCCCAAACCCCAAACGCCCGTCTTCAGACAATGGCAAAGGCCGCAGGCCTCAGACCATCTCTTCCTCAGCATGAACGGCCTTGTCTCCCAAAAACCCGAAATCTGAATCCTGAACCTCCTATAAGCCCTAGCAGGCATCTGCAAAGTCCGAGACCAACGCCGGAGACGGCACGACCAGCGCTGCTGTACTGACCCAGGAGCTGGGATGAAAGGTTCAGGGATTTAGGGCTCACGGTGCACGCATTGCCGCACAGCCGGCCATTCAATTTCAATACGGAAGCAAATCGTTTTGTGGATCATCTAGAATCTAGAGCTCAATCAGTGACACACAGCTGTGGTGTTCTGATGACCACAAGGCGTGTCTGGGCAATCTGCGTAGCCGAATCATTGCGAGTCGACGTGGGCCTCATGCTTCTGACACCACCGAGCAAAAACCACACACACACACACACACACACACACACCCACACCCACACACACACACACACACACACACACACACACACAACACACACACACACACACACACACACACACACACACACACACACACACACCACGCACGCACGCACGCACGCACGCACGCACGCACGCACGCACGCACGCACGACGCACGCACGCACGCACGCACGCACGCACGCACGCACGCACGCACGCACGCACGCACGCACGCACGCACGCACGCACGCACGCACGCACGCACGCACGCACGCACGCACGCACGCACGCACGCACGCACGCACGCACGCACGCACGCACGCACGCACGCACGCACGCACGCACGCACGCACGCACGCACGCACGCACGCACGCACGCACGCACGCACGCACGCAGAGACACAGAGACACAGAGACACAGAGACACAGAGACACAGAGACACAGAGACACAGAGACACAGAGACACAGAGACACAGAGACACCGAGACACGGAGACACGGAGACACGGAGACACACAGACACACCGACACACGGACACACACACACACACACACACACACACACACACACACACACACACACCACACCCACACACACCACACACACACACCACACACACACACACACACACACACACACACACACACACACACACACACACACACACACACACACACACACACACACACACACACACACACACACACACACACACACACACACACACACACACACACACACACACACACACGCCCACACGCACACAAGCAAAGAGCGCGGCTGTAGTGCCCATGGTGCCGCTTGCACTCCGCTGTAGGGTAACGTGTCCACTTGGGTGCTGTTTTTTGCTTCAGTTGTTCGAGTATCCTTTCTTCTTCTACCCCGTGAGATTCATCAGCACTGCAAGAAATCTGTAATCTGCGCGGGAGGTGCATCGCACTTGCTTCGAGGGTGCAGGGTTTCTAGGGTCTCCACTATCCGTGAGCCGCAGTGAGCCCTGATTTCAGGAGATGGTCAACGAGGCCTTTGCTGCACTCGGAGATTGAAGCTAGTAACAGCTAGCAGCAGGTGCATGTCCGCACTCGTTGGGCTTGCTGTCTGAAGTGAGGAACGGACTTTAGCAAAGCTTGGTAGGAGCATGCCTGGCCAACCAGAAACATGTCGTTCCAGATTGCACGTGTGTGAGGGGGGGGGAGGGAACTCTTTTGCCTGCCTCTGCAGTGTCTTGTGGAGGGCATGCAGCTTGTCAGCAGCGGGTACAACCCTGTCCTCATGCAGAAGGGTATGAAGGCCTGAGCCAGTATTCATCAAGTGAGACATTCATCAGGACTGCATGGTTGCAGCCTTAGGAATTCGATGTCCACCTGTTTCCCTCTGCTCTTCTCCTTTTGCAGTGGCCTCCAGGCAGCAGCGAACTTCATTGCCACAGAGGCCAGACCATGGATCACGGTGGTACATGTTGTGGTGCCCGGTGCGGTTAAAAATGGCAAAGCAGAGGCCGCCTGCATCCGCCTGCTACCTTGTAATTCGGCGGGAGTACTTGTGGAGCAAGACTCCGGACCCTTAACCTACCCTAAATTAAGCCACCTAAGCCCACTACACCTGGAGCTGTGGATGCGATTTAGACTGTGTGCGCAGGTAGACGACTTGGCCAAGCCAGTCCAAAGTGGTGATCTGAAAGGTCAGCTTGTTTGCATGCATGTTGAATTCACAGGCAGTTCCTTTCTTGAGTGGGGTACCTGTCACCGAGATTTCGAGCATTCACAGCCATCCATGGACCATCAAGTAGCATCTCTGGCCGAGAAACATGCACCACCTGCGCCAGACATCGCCACTGTGTCCGTGGGCGGAGACGAGGGCATGGGGCAAAAGATTTCTCAGGCACGGTGGCGATCTGCCTAATGACCTGGAGTCCTGAAGTTAACGCTAGACCACACACCCGAGCCAGGCTTTCGAAACAGTCGGTGACACCGGAAACGTTGCAGCAGCCTTAGAGAAGTGTGGCCTATGCATTATGCCTATGCTACACTACGCCATTTGTGGTCGAGGTGATCGAGGAGTCCCAGGTGCTCGAGGACGAGGCTGTTGGCCTATGATTCGTATGATCGTTTCTTATAGGGTTACGCTCAAGGAAGCAAGTATACCGGTACACCCCCAGAAGATCCCAAAGCCACCTCCGGAACCACGAAATCACGAAATCTTGCAGCCTCAGCCTAGGTTGAGGTGAGCGAGGGCTTGACCTTGGATCGAGGCGCGACATTGATCCCAGAATGGGTGTTTCAAGCGCATGGCATGGACTTGGGATGACTCGGGCAATTTTGGGGCGTGCGTGATGCGCTGGCGTACCCGTGCCCTCCTGTGGCCTCAGAGCTTTTGCAAGTTGCAAGAATGCTCCAAGTCCGTGAGGTTACATCTCACCCTACTTCGTTACCGATGCGCAACGCCTGGTGGCAGAGCTGAAGAAGCCGAGAGCTCTGAGAGACGACCATCCAGCCAGTCGAAACGCGAGATTGTGCAGATTTTCTGAGGGTTCCTTTTCAATGCCATGCGGGGCTCCGAACAGAAACAAGCACTTGTTGAGAGACCTCACGGCACCTTGCAAAGGCCCCGAGTCCTGGTAACCGACCAGAAGCTTTCCGATGCATACGACATCCTGACTTTGCTGGAGGCGGCGTCCCTTCGTTGGCTCGTTGGCTTAAGCTCGTAATTTACCTGCTGCGAAGTGCCAGCTGAAAAGTCAGATAGCTATATCACAACGAGCCACCATAGAGCTTTTGCGAAGGACCTGCTGAAGACGAAGCAGCCAATCTTCATCATCGCGGATGACGTGACCGGCGAGGCATGTGCAGCGGAACGAACCGTGGGGACTGCTGATGAGGTCACCAAAAGCTCGGCGGCTGTTGTCTGACTCTTTGGCATGGAAACCGTAAACCAAGTTGGGCGCAGGCTCTTCAGACCCTTGTTCTCAACAAGCAGCGTGGCATCCTGGACGTCGTAGCAATCAAGGCTACAGCATTGACTCGCACGAACAGAGCCTACACTCTAGACGCCATCCCAGTTCCCAAGCAATGCTCCAGGGATCTGCCAGGCGCCTGCCTTCGGTGCACGGAAGACGGCCATCTTACAGGACCTTGCGCTCGCGACAGGCCTTCTAATGTTGTTACTCACAAGCCCCCAGTCAGCTCCAAACCCAGCAGGTGCCGAATTCATCAACTCAGAGTTGGGTATGACCCTTGCGGATGCCACCGTGGAGCAGCTGGGCACCTGTACTCGGCTCAGCATCCTTTAACACCTTTTGCCGAGGGCAGACTTGTGAATGGAGGGCAAGGTCTGTAAGAACTGCCCATGGCCCGTGACGCAGACCTCTGAAAACCTCACAGCTACCAGCCTACAATCATGTACGCTCGCCTCAAAAGCTCTCTCGCTGCGTCGCTCTCTCTCTCTCTCTCTCGCTCTCTCTGTGGGTGTGTGTACATGTACATAGTACGTATTTGGACATATTCATATATACTGTTGTATTGAAATGTAGTGTAATGTAATCTAATGTAATCTAATGTAGTGTAATGTAATGTAATGAAATGTAATGAAATGTAATGAAATGTAATGAAATGTAATGAAATGTAATGAAATGTAATGAAATGTAATGAAATGTAATGAAATGTAATGAAATGTAATGAAATGTAATGAAATGTACTGAAATGTAATGAAATGGAATGAAATGGAATGAAATGGAATGAAATGTAATGAAATGTAATGAAATGTAATGAAATGTAATGAAATGTAATGAAATGTAATGAAATGTAATGAAATGTAATGAAATGTAGTGAAATGTAATGAAATGTAATGAAATGTAATGAAATGTAATGAAATGTAATGAAATGTAATGAAATGTAGTGTAATGTAATGCAATGTAATGCAACGTAATGTACGGTACGTATATATGTATACACGCATTATACATGTCACCGAAAACAGGTGAGAAGGTGGTTGTGGAGAAAGAGAAAGTCCGTCTCCCCAGCCATTGGCTTCTGGGCTTTGTGGGGTTTTGCGTAGCCTTTGGTGGCCTTAAGGCTTGGTGCAACTAGGGCGTATGCGGGCTTTGATTGAGTTGACATGTGGGACTTCTCGGGTTGTGGGGCATCTATCTGCTGCTCCAGGCCGTGCTGGTGACCGACGGGACCCATGCAGAGGCTGTCAAGGTGGAGTGCCCGACTTTAGGGTGTAGGCTTGTGGTCCAGGGTTGGGAGAAGCCGTTCGCAAGAGTGTGTCTGCCAGGAGCGCATTCAGCAGCTTGAGCAGCAGCTAGAGGAGACGGACAGCAGCTACGATCAGGAGAAGATTCAGGCACCTCAGCCTGACCCTTTGAACAAATGTGCTGAAAATGCCAGAGAACCAAGCAGCAGAATTGTCAAACACCGCAGCCATAGCGGCTCAAAGGCAGCGTTCAGGCCAACCAAACCAGACTCAGCGTCATCCATCAACAGTGCGTGACGTTTTGTACGTGTGCACGTGTGTGCGAGCTTCTCCATCAGATGCAGCTAAACCCAGTACTGTTAGACAAGTTGCAGCACAGTACTGTAAACAGGATAATTAGTCCAGGCGTTAGGATGAACACCTAAGCATGTGAAGATGCCTTTGGTGCGGCTGAAACATGCCACTCTTCGAAGTGGTGTGGCCAAAGGGCATCGGCTACCGATCTGCTCCTGAGCTTTCCGCCAAAGCGGAAGACCGACGACCCGCGAAGCGAGGAGATGTCGTGTGAAGCTCAGAAGCTCAGAGAAGCTCAGAGAAGCTCAGAGAAGCTCAGAGTAGTGTGGCGTGCGAAAGACGCCGGGAGCCCTTTCCTATCCTTTCCTGCCAGGGATCCTTGTCCTTTTCTAAGCCTGCCAAGGTGGAGGGGGAGGCTGTGGACGATTGGGTGAAGACCGACGATGGCTACTACTTACCCCTGCGAGGTCCAGAGGGCCAGCAGCTCCTCAAGCGACAGGCAGGAAAAGTCCCAAGCCTGATCATATGGACACTGCCAAAAAAAAGGTTTCTAGGGATCCTCAGAGTCCAGAGTTGCCCGAACCCCTGCGGGAAGAGTCCAGAGTTGCCCGAACTGCCATGTCCTTTGCAAGTTCCCGAGAGAATGAACCAAAACGATCCCGCGAATGGTGATTTTCCCCCTTGAGCCCCATCGAGGCGGAGATGGTCCCCTGGGTCTGTGACCTTGGGCACCTCAAAGAGCCCAGCGCGCCGAGCGGGCCTAGCACGTCTGCAAAGTCAGAAGTGCGGGGCATTGAGGAGCTCGAGAGTCTCCACCAAAAATATGACAAGAAGCAACTCTCCCGCAATGAGCCTTCTATGTTTCGTTCAACGCGACCCGAGATGCTTTGCGGGATCATTTGTCGCAGGATGATACCTTCCCCATCAAACCTCTCGTGGCTCGCGGCCTCTGAGGTATGGGAAGCCAAAAAGTGCTGCTTCAGCCTCCCCGTTTGGACCCATGGCAACGTCGCATTTGGCCCACGAGAGCTACATGAACGAGTTCCGACAGGGCCTGGAAGAGATGGGAGTTGACACCAGCGACGACCCATACCTCAATCTCTATGCGCCTAAGACCGGCGAGAGGGGCGGCAGCCGAAGTGGCAGCCGCGGCGGCGACAAGCCTTTGACGCGTGGGACGCTGACCCGCAGCAGAGAGCTCAGCATTTTGAAGGGAGCTTTGCAGAAGCCTAGTCAGGGAGCTCATGCATGAAGAGGAAAGCGTGTTCAGTGTGCTGTTCTTCCGAGGTGGGGACTCCATCTCCCGACCCAGCAGCCGGGGGTCCCTGGCCAAGGCCGCTCCAGCTCCGAGAGGCAAAGGCGCCGAGGCGCCCAGACATGATGCCCTTACTAATCTTACTATGGTATTCCCCCCCTAGCCCTCAGACCCGTTCTTTTTGGAGATGCTAACCTGAGCAGGCAGGAGCAGGCTCCATGCTTTCAATGTGTGGAGCTGTTGTCGCAGCCTGGCGTGGAGTTAGTTCGCTGCATTTGAGTGCTATGTTTGAAGGTCTCGTCGGTTTTGTCGCATCTCCTGTACAAGTAGCAGGTATTCGTAGGAGCCATTGATCGCTGCTGTTCCTGGGTGCCACCCGAAGCAGTGTCCACAAAGGTCACGCGGTCTGCTTCCAGTGGGACCAGCGCCAGGCAAACAGGGCACCATATTTCGCATTTAAAGTGCCCTGAACTCCAAGAACCGATACACCCCCCGTTGCGAGACGCGGGCATGGGCCTGCGTAAAACGTCTTGACCTCAGCATCCCTCCCGCAAAATGGGGGGAAGTCAAAGTTGTCCGGCCAGCATCTGTGCAGCTTAGGGGGTGCTAGCATATCATTAGGGCTTACAGTGCGTACGGCTTACAGTGGTTTAGGGATGGCTCTTGTCTGCAGGTGGCGCGAGGGCCCTGGCAACGCCATCCTGCCCGCCACTCCGCTGCCATGTAGAGAACTGCGGCTCAGGGGAGCCCTGAAGGCATAATGAAGAATGAGCCTGTAGAAAGCCGTCCAATTTATCCTCAAAACCCACCCGCAAAGCGCCTGAATTCCGTCCCCGAAATCGTATCCGGGGTTGAAAAAGCCGCCAAGCCGCAGAGCCGAGGTGAAGGAGTGGACCAGCGTGAAGCACGGCAAGGAGGTGCTCAGCAGCTGCTCCAGTGGCCGCGTGGCAGACCTCTCCGACCGCGCCTTGGAGGTTCCCAGCGTTTCGGGGTCGGAGTTTCTTTGTTGTTAGGTTATAGTTCTGTACCACTTGAAGCCGGGCCTTATTCTGGGTGGTGTGTTGACGACTTCAGGGGCTTTAGGGTTTTGGATCCCAGGGATAGAGGCTGGTCCTGGGCCGCCAAAGCACGAATCGCTTTCAGCTCATTTGGGTTGGCAACTTCGCAGCGTTGCACTACTTCCAGTGTCAAAGAAAATGCAGAATTCCATGGACAGGGCCAACACGGTTCAAACAGCACCTACCGAGAGAAGGAAGCCCCTTGTCTCCTTGGTGGCGACAGCCGAGGCAACATCATGTGCTTGTCCTTGCAGGGCGACTTGGAGAATTTGGGGCCACACAAGTTTGACAATGTTAGCTGACAGAGACAGCGGTCTTCTGTTCGTATTTTCAGAGCTCATTCGAGTGCTCAGGTTGCAGCGGTTTTGAAGGCTGAGTCAGCTGAGGCGATTTGGCAGTGTGTGGCAGTGCTGACCATGGGTTGAAAGAGATGCTCGATCTTTAGTTTTTGTCATTTGTGCTAGGACTGCCCCCATAAGCCGCATTCATCTGTGGAATCGCAAGCGTCGAGTCGTAAATGTGCTAGCTGCATGTCTTCGGCACACATGTTACATGATTGCATTTCAACCACATGCGCCCACACATGTTGCGGCTGAGGATCAACGTCCGTTCGGGCACGGTCATGAGAAACCTCTACACGAAGAGGTAGCTTGCCTGACTACGCAGTCCAGCAACTGGACGTTGGTACCAGACAATGGTTGCCAAGTGTGCTGGAGACTGAGGTTTGGTCACACAGAGTGGGTGACGACAGTGTCACACTGTCGCGATGGCCGAGTCATCTCTGGCGGTCTTGACAGCAAGCTTTGTCTTTGGCAGGCTCCCTGCTGTGCTTGGACCCACACATCGCGTTGGCATACACCCTGCTGTCCCGACACATGCACCCCTGGTGCTCCATAAGCCTAAGCTCTTGCCACCTACCTTCTGCCCAAGCTACTTCGGATCTGAAAGTGAACAGACCGCGACTCCTGCTGAGCGCAATTGTTTATCCTGTGCAATTCTAGAACTAGCAAAGCTCCGTACAATCATGGTCATATTCATGCTTGGGGTTCTGAGAGCAAAGAGAGAGAGAGAACATCTCTCGATCACCTGGATGCCACGTGAAAGGTTCTACTTTCGCAATGGGATGTCGGCATGCGTTCAAGAATAAGAACAAGCAAGGACTATGTTCATGATTTTCTTCTTGGCGCAGGCATCTGGCGTGTCCTGCGTCGACCTCACCGGACATGTTGGCTCCATCAGTCGCGTGCGCGCACACGCGCCCCTTAGCCTGAAAAAAGGTCTCAGTGCGAAAGGTCCTTCAAAGTAGCAGTTGAAGTTTCTACCAGGACGACACGAGCATCCAGAGCGCAGTGTTCTACCCGACGTGAAGTACTGATTGCTTGCGCTGTGACTCGTGTCTCCCTGGTGTTGCTCCCATTTCTGCGCCGGGTCTTGCCACTTCATGGCAGGCTTTCTCTGCACTTGCGAACAACATCGGATTGAACTCCGGAATGGGAGCTTTCTCTGTATAAGCCTTGGCCCCAAGCCATGAACATCCCTTCTCCAGCAAGGCAGATGGACATAGCCATCTCGGCAGCCTACGCCGCTCGGCTGAAGAAGGGGAGTTTGAAAATCCAGAAGCCCCTACTGCAGCCCCATGCAGCCCCTATGCAGGATGGCCTGAGGTCTGCACCCTTGGCCTGAGCGCTTCTCTTTCTCATTGCCAGGGGATGATCTAGGGCACCTTAGGCTACCATAGTAGCAGCCGGGCTGAGTCAGGATCGCACCCTGCGTGCCTGGGATCTCCGGAAGAAGTCGGAGCTCGGCTGCTGCACAGGCCTTGGGAAATCTTGGGAATCTCGCAGCGGGGTTGAAGGGTTCGGGTTCAAAGCTTAATTCCTTTGTTGAGGAGGGGGCTTACTGGCTTCAGGGTGCGAGGCGGCACACTTTCCGGATGTTCTTGGGGCCCCGAAGATCCTTTGCTGCTAGGCAGGTTGAGAAGACGTCCCGGTCCCGAGCCCTGTGTCCTAGACTCTGTTCATTTCGAGGCTACCTGGGGTTTAGTGATGGTTTGGGGGTGGGGGTATCTTTTTGGGTCAAGAGTTTTGGGTGTCCGGGAGGCCACGATGCTTCCATCACCGAGTTTGTTTGGGCAGATGACGTGGTGGCCAGTGGTGACCGTGCAGGCATGGTGCGGGTGAACTGGCAGCAAGCAGGAGAGCTGCCAAAACGCTTGATTAAGTTCCTTCACCAGCAGCTATTGGCTGTCAACACCAGGGAGGGAACTCTAAACCCTTAGAAAGTTCGGAAACCGAAAGCCAGCAAACTACGGTACAACACAAGGCCAAGTCCTTCGGCTTGAGCGAATCACCCAGGTCTGGGATGCCAGGACGGCGCAGCAGATGGGCACCCTGCGTGGGCACAAGGGGCACATCACCGCAATGCTCGCCCTACCACAGGAAGGAAGTGGCGACCTGAACTATAAGAGCACGTATTTGGGAGGCGTAGTTAGAGAAGTTGTGCTGGAACAGCGATGAAACGACACGGTAGCCACATTGCTCCTGTTCCAATGATGCATACAGCACAAGGTTCAGGGGTTTAGGGATTTAGGCTTGGTGAAGGCACAGTGCTGCGACAGGTTTCTTTCCCAAATTCCCAGGTGAAGAGGCTCAAGGGGGAGGCCCGCCATCCGGGCTTGTTGCCACAGGACCGACTTGGGTATTTCCCAAAATGGGGTACCCCCATTTATACCCCAAATGGAATAGAACCCCCTAAAGAGACCCCCCAAAAAAGGGTACTCCTATTTTCGGAAACCTTCACTTGGGGTGAGCAGCCTCGAAGAAGCAGATTGTTGGTGGCGGAGTTTCATGTAGGGAAGTAGCCCCCAACATTCCCCCAACCCGAACACGCCACCAGACATCGCCTGAGCCCAGCGCCCAGACCTATAAACCCCCTAAATGCCCTGACCAAAAAGAACACGGCTGCAAGCCCTGCGGAGGAGCTCAAGACGGTCAGATTCGCATCTGGGATCTGCGGCAGAAGCTGAACACTTTCACCATGGCTGCGCACCCCGGTGGTGCCATCAACGCAGCTTGGCACAGCACTTCTTCGGGAGAGGGTTCCAGGGGCTCGAAAAAAGCGGTATATGTCCACTCGGACACTCCACAGTGGCAGGGATGATGTCAGCAATTGATTCCTGGTTTCATTGCTTGGAGTCCTTCCTGGGCGAGATTCCCTTGCTTCGATGCAATATGATGAAGTGCAGATAATATGGGTAGATTATGGAACCCTCGGAGTTTGTCTCAAGAGGCGCTGGTGGGTCCTGGTGCGGTTTTGACGTACCCGCGCTGCATCTCGGTTTGCTGAGGAGATCGGGATAACTTTGCGCAGTCCACCAGTGATTGTTACTGCTGGGGCAGATGGACGACTGCTTGGCTTCGATCCAAGATCAAGCTTCAAGCCGCTCTTTGAGTTCGGTGGCATCACGACTGCCGCTTGCTTAAAGCCAGAATCGATTTCCGTGAATCACGAGTGCTGCCGACACGGCAATAAAACTGCAACATGTCGCCTGTTCCCTTCTCACTGCCCCGTAAACAGCCCCCTGAGACTGAGTTTCTCAGAGGATGCCAATTTTGTCATAAAAAGCCTTTTACACTTACATGGTTCGCCCTCATCTGCACATGGCCTCGAAAAACAACGTCTCCAGTTTGTAGACATTGCCTTGCCCTCGCGGCCTTCTGACCTGACCGGCCTTGTTTGATGTGTTCAGGATTTCATCTACAGCATGCTCGTGCTCGATGACCTTGTCTTCACAGGAGACGGCCGTGGACGTGTGTCGTGCTTTGACATCCGGAGCAGCCAGAAACTTTATGTCCTGGACGCCGGGCAAAATGCCATCCGTTGCCTTGCCGCAACGGAATCCTGCCTCGTGTGTGCTGGAGACGATGGGAACGCCATCATGTTCGACTTCTAAGATAGGCAGATGTTTTCCATGGGTGCCACGCTGACATGGCTGAGCGTGCCAGGCATTTGCTGAGCGTGCCAAGCATTTTCCTCTTAGAGTTAGCTTTGACCCTCGCGCCTCTCCTGAAGCTACGTGCCTTCAGGACTGTTAATGATGACACTGAGTTAACGACCTTCGCCAGGTGATCTGCCAGTGTCCTGCTGTAGTGGACCAAGAGGGGTGTAGAATGCATACACGAAGAGCAGCCGCTGCAGAGCTTAGCAGGAAACCCGGCGAATCTTAACGGAAACCTACGCGACTGAATACCTAGGACCACCAGCCGAAAAGTGAGCGCAGGCTTTCTGGATGGTTGAGCACAGACAGAGCTGAGCGAGAGAATGCGTTGTGTGTTGTTGGGAGTTGGATGCGCAGAACCTGACAGAGGAACGTCCAGTCTGTTCACAGAACTTTGGCTTTCGTCACGAAAGCTAGCAGCTAGCGTAGCTAGGCTTACGTTTCGTCGCTGCTTTAGTAAGGGTATGGGTCTACCTCCAGATCGCGCCAGTATATTGGTTGTATCACCAGTTTTGCTTTTTTGTTTTGTAGTTCTGCTAAGAATGGGGGGGGAGTCAATATTGACAGCATGATTGAAAGAAACTCACACGCGCGCACACACACAGACAGACAGACAGACAGACAGACAGACAGACAGACAGACAGACAGACAGACAGACAGACAGACAGACAGAGACAGACAGACAGACAGACAGACAGACAGACAGACAGACACACACACACACACACACACACACACATATGAGGGTTTATTTTCAAAAACGTACAAACATGCGCTCAGAGAGACCGCGATCTAGGTCTAACGAGCTATCCAAAACACGCGATAGAAGAAAGCGTACTACAAACAAGCCTGTTTGCGGGCGACATTGGCGGGGCGGCAAGTGCGGCAGCGGTGTACGGTGGCATAGCCTTATAGGCTGCTTTGATTGCAGCTGTGTGCCAGTCCTCATCCTTTGTTTATTCAGCGTTCATGAATTTTTGCTATAGACTGTTTGAGGATTCTTCCAGCTTGCGGGGGTTTAGTGCTTCAGGTTGCAAGATGTTGCATGCCAGGAGCGCATTGCCTCTCTTGGTGGTGGCGTGGCCAAGATCAAGGCACTCGACTCGACGAGTCGAAGCTTCTCTTGTTGCCAATGTTGCGCCATTTCCTCGCTTGTCTGTACTATTCAACTATAATTCAAGTTTTTCAGATTTCGACAAACCTCTTCGTCCCGCGTACGAGCTTGAGCCGTGGCTTTCCAAGCTGATGGTTGTGATCTTTGTAGGTTGGCGGTGCTACAGAGACGGAGGTCAATGACAAGAAGCGTGCTGCCAAGCTTGGAAACGCCAAGACCTGCATAGGAGCCAAGAAGAGCCCTGCACGACCCCCCAACGCCCGTTCGAGGCTTCGCTACACTGACGCCATCAGCGCAGTCCGCAGCGCCAAGGACGTGGAAAAAATGCGCACTTGCAGACTGAAACCCTCACATCCTCGGTCTGAACATTCAGGGGTCGAAGTGCCCCGGGATTATCGGATAATGAATAACGGGGGCGCTTGGTTTCTCTCAGACAAGTTCAGGTTTCAGGGCTGTGGGGATGACATATACTGGCAGCAGCAATAAGACATGATGCTCCGTTCATGCAAGCTTCCAGGATCAGTGAAGGTGCATGTCGGCCGTTGCTATCAGGCATTTGCTGTTGCAAGACATTCGGTGAGGGTGTCATGATTCTGGTGACTGGTTCTCGCCTCCACTTCTAGGATTCGGTACTCGCCATGACTCTTAAGACCTTCCGACAGATCCGACCAGATCAGAACCCTGAGCCCTAAACCGTAGCTGGCAGGAGATGGGCATCGTTCCCGGCGGCGGCAGCGTTTTGATGTATCTGACAGCCGAGAAGTTCCTGGAAAAAGTCCAGAAGGAATCCGGGCCCTGAGCCGTATCGCCCCAAACACCCAGACACCCTTCAACCTCCACTAGCCCTCCAAATCACAACGCCACAACAGCGCCCCCACAGCAGTGCTAGAAGCCCGGGGCCCGAGCTGGAACACGGTTTTGAAGTCTCCGTCTGGCTGTCTCTGTGTCTCTCTCTCTCTCTCTCTCTGTGTCTGTGTCTCTGTCTCTCTTTCTCTGCGCTTCTGATTAGGGTTCTTGATTTGGCAGGGTTCTGGGAGTGAAAGGATGCGTGTAGGGTTTAGGGTTTATAGGGTTCAGCGGGGAACGGACCACGAGACCCCAATGACCCCGCAACACCGCCGGTCTCAAAAACCCGCCCAAACCTGACTTGGTCCTTATTCCGTGTAAGGCCGCGTTGAAACTGCCTGAAACTGCCTTGAAGCCTCTTAAGTCTTCAAACCCCAAGCCTCACCTCATCCGGCAAAATCCGGCAGGAGCTCCGAACGGAAGATGAGAAGAAAGGAGCCGAGTTGGTCTTCAAGTCGCTCCAGGTTCTGTTTCAAAACGTCCGTTAGTGTGCTCCTTGTTTTGTTGTGTAGGATAGGCCGATAGGCAGACGGCAGAGCGACCTCATGACGCAGGCTCCCATCAGGCAGATTGCTCGCAATGCCGGAGAGGACCCCAGTGAGGCGCCTCAACGCGAGATGATGTCGGCTGCAAGACCGCGACCCCGGCCACTACAGCCACCCAACTCCAAATCCTAATGTCGATGCCCCACTTCATGGAGTCGAAACATCTTGCCTCACACTGCCAGGTGGTCTTCAACGTGCGTGGTAAGGACTTTGGCTACGGCTACAATGCTGCCACCAAGGCGGGAGAAGGAGTTCTGGTCCCCCGAACATATCTGAGAAGTCTTGAGCCTTTAAGGACTGAGGGGGCTAAGGGATTAGAGCCGAGGCCGAGGGCCTCAGTGATTAGAGCCCGACCATGTGAGGTTTCTGGCCGGAGTCCATCCCAGGTTACTCGACTTATGTGGTTACACCCCCTGCCCAACAGGTCTATGAAGACTTGCTCCAAGCCGGAGTGGTGGATCCTGCCAAGGCTCTTGGAGCATTCTTGCCTCAGAGCTGCTGCAAAGTCCAGAGCCCATAAAGATGCCTACAGTCGTGTGCACTCAAGTCTGCTCACAGAAGGGCGCTCTTGGGTTTTTGCAGGCCAAAAGGGGTGCGGAACAAAAACACAAACCTCTATGGGGCTCGGAAGGTGGTGATCAACTCAGTTGTCAACGCTGCTTCCATTGCTGGCATGGCTCGGTACTCAGGGCTGTGGGTTTATGGGAGTTAGGGCCTGGGGTGGGCCTCACATGCTCCGAGCAGAATGGCTGCAGTGCCTTGCTGCAGCCTTGCTTCCTGTGGACTGAGTGAGGTCCTCACCACTGATGCCATCGTCACGGACCTTCCCACCACACCCGCACCCACGCCCGCGGGCGGCATGGGCGGTGGCATGGGTGGCATGGGCGGTGGCATGGGTGGCATGGGGGGAATGGGAGGGATGTGCGCGCCCAAGAGCTGAATTTTGTTCGGTGGCTCGTGACGGGAGCAGAGTAGATGAACTCATTCTGCATCCGCTGAGGTACTGATTTCCTGATTCCAGCGGAACCATGGAAGGTGTAGTCGCTATAGTCGAATCGGGGTTTTGCATATAGGAGTCTATGGCCTGTTTCCCCGCCAACCTCTAGAAGCATGTGCAGTGCACATGCGTCCGCTCGATGCGTGTCGATGCTTGAAGTTCTGACCCCTGCTGTTGCGTCAAATGCGTACTGGCCAGGGAGAAGTTTTGTTTCATGTGAAGGCAGAAGACGAGATTGGAAACGATTGCGCAACTTACCGTAGAGGCCTTCGTCTTCTGCCTTGCCACAGATCTTTGGCTGTCCTCATGCCTGCCGATTTGACATCCCAAGAGTTGATGCACAGTCATGACACAGTTAAACACATGAGCGCTTCTGTTGTTCGGATGTCTCTGCGGCAGATGTCAGCAGACATATTCAGCATATTCATGACCCAAAGACTCTTAACCAGCCGCTTTTTGGTCACCAAGATGCAGTTTGCGGCAAAACTACGTGCCAAGACCAGGCGATCCAGACCATTAAGATTATTGAGCCCAGGCCATAAACCGCATATAAACCACGCAGTATTTGTACACCCGCACAACTCCCGGCGTCTTTCTCTTGCTGATGGGGCTTAATAAGGTCGATACTGTGCGGTGAGCGGGAAACACGAGACCAGAAGAACCGAAGAGCTCTCATACCGCTTTGTGGCCCAAGCTAGGTTTCCTAATGCAGCTGCTGATGGATCGAGCCACTCTGCCAGAAGGGCCGCAGGTAGCAGAACAAGAAGTTGCGCAATCAGCAAGCAAACGCATGTAGAGCACGTGGAATCCCAAAGCCATGTTCTGAGA